GCCTTGTACAAAATGGTTCTTCTTAAGCATCTTCTATGAGTCATTTGACATAACAACAGCCATCTTGTTTTTGGAAATGGTGAAGTTCTGCGAGGTACCCTGCTCCAACCTGGATGCTCTCAGATAGATAAACTTCATCTCCCATAATTCTCAGCCATTTTGGGCAGTGTTAAAGGTTCTGGAATTAAATTCTCCACAAACTCCACACATTCAGAGGTGTCCTAGTTGTTGTTGTTGTTGTTAGTTGCGAAGTCGTGTCCGACCTATCGCGACCCCATGGACAATGTTCCTCCAGGCCTTCCTGTCCTCTACCATCCTCTGGAGTCCATTTAAGCTCACGTCAACTGCTTCAGTGACTCCATCCAGCCACCTTGTTCTCTACCGTCCCCTTCTTCTTTTGCCCTCAATCGTTACCAGCATTAGACTTTTCTCCAGGGAGTCCTTCCTTCTCATTAGGTGGCCAAAGTATTTGAGTTTCATCTTCAGGATCTGGCCTTCTAAAGAGAAATCAGGGTTGATCTCCTCCAGGACTGACCGGTTTGATGGTCTTGCAGTCCAAGGGACTCGCAGGAGTCTTCTCCAGCACCAGAGTTCAAAGGCCTCCATTCTTTGGTGCTCATCCTAGTTAAGAAAGGCTATTCAGGAAAAAAGATGTTGGTCTAGTTCAAGGCAATAGTACCAGATCCAGACTGCAATCTAGATAACAAATTAACCAAGTTACAAACAAACAGAGAGTTTCAAGGATCAGAATTTTAGAGCTCAGTGCTTTATGGTTACCTGTGTAGTTAACGACTGAATTAGCTTGGGATTTTTGTGTTTGTAAGAGTGTACTTATTCAATGTTAGTTATGGAAAGGTTAGTGATATTGTAATTAGTAATTCAAATATCAGAGTTATAGAGTTCAGTGATTGATAATTATCTGTACAGTTCTTTGTAGCAAGGGCACGATGTCATGTAGCAACTATTTTAATGATTAAACATACATCGCCTTGAAACTTTTGTGTTTGTGCTGTGTTTGAATACGAACAGTACTCATTCAATGTTAGTTATGGAAAGATTGATGATATTGTACTAAAAATGATATTCACATTGACTGGTACAGCTGTGTTTTTATTGTGTGCTTTCTATAATGACTGGGTTGCTGCTGTTTTTAAATTATTATTGCTTTCGACATTGTTACTCTGCTTGTAATCATGTTCCTAACTTGCGCAGAAGCTGAAATAACATGGAACAAAATGAATGGAAGTAAGGGTGATTTAATTATTATTTTTTTAAAAAAAGAAGGTCTAATGAACATTTGCAAAAGACTTAAGAATGTGCAATTAACAGAACTCAAATGTGAAAGCAACAGATTCACAGCTAGGAAAAAATTCTCAGGGCTAAGATTATTCTTAAAAATCTCTCTCTTTTGCATATTTCCCTTTAAGAAACAGAATGCAAGAGACAACTCCACAGGCAGATTTGGCTTCCCCAAGCTGCAAGTTAATTTATTAAGTGAACCTGGCGAGACTGGAGGCACTTTTCAAGGCAATGCTTCATTCTGTGCCTTTCATTTTTATCTCCTTCCCTCCCTGTTTTCTACTGCAGTTAAGTAGCTGACAGACCAGTAAGGAAGGACTTCCCTAAAATAATTGAGGCACCTGATGTTCTAGTCCTCCATGACCTAGAACAAATAGCTGTAAAGTGTCTCAGTTTTGACTTTTGTCGGGTTTTTTTGTGCTCTAACAGTTTGATTGATTTCAAAAATGCCCAGGAGAGAATAGCAGCAAAACAAGACAAGGTTTTTTTCCCCCCCAGCTTTCTCTCCCCCACCCCCACCCAAAAGAAGAAAAAAAAAAGAACAGGCTTAATCCAAAATAATTATTTATTTCCTGGGTCCATGGATAGAAAGAGGCAAGACTTGATGGAATACATGGAATTCAGCAGACCTGCATAAATTTTGACTTGTTAAGTGGGACATAGTACAGCAGGCATATGTAGACAACTTTTGGGGAACACACTAAACTATTTCTTGAATAACTCCTGTTCTTCAGGGTTTGTACAATACATCGAATTGTAACTTAACCTACTGAACTGGAGTTTTGTACAAAGCTGTAAGCAACGAGGTGAAGAAACCAAGTTTAAATCTGGCTAGACATGCTTATGTCACTGGGAATGAACAAATGATCTGATTTTGCTCCATTGTGCTGCAAAATGTAAAGGAGGTAGCTTTCGTGAATTTATCTTATCACAATATATAACCAAAATGGGCCAACTCACCATCGGACAATTCAACAAAGAGAAACGCTAAATTAATTTCTACAGAACTGTGGCCTATAATGATAAAATTTTAAAAATCAACCCAGAAATACAAGAATTTCAATGAAAACGTGGTCCCCAATAGAAAAGTACCGTATTTTTCGGAGTATAAAACCCACCTTAGTTTTTGGGGAGGAAAAAAAGAAAAAAGCTGATTGGTGGGTGAATCAGCCTCCCAGAATACCCCCAATCAGCTGTTCCCAGAGGTGAATTTTAGCAACAGGTTCGTTGGTTGTGAGCTCTGTGCCTTCCTTTTTTTTTCTGTCTCTGAAACTTCTGAAACTCTGTTTCAGAAAAAAACTTTTTTTTTCTGCCTCTGAAAGCCTTCGAAACAGAGCTTCAGAAAAAAAGGCTTTTTTTCTGAAGCTCTGTTTGGAGGCTTTTTTTCTGAAAATTCTTTCAGAGGCTTTTTTTTCTGAAGCTCTGTTTCTGAGGCTTTTTCTGAAGGACTATCTGTACTCTGTTCAATCTCCTTTCTTTGGTATTGGTATTGGTATAACCTTTTCCGATCTGTTGGTTATTGTGTCATTCTCCAGATTTGTTAGCACAATTTGGTTAGAGCCTTTACTGATTCTTCTTTTGTTGCTTGTCATATTATTTTAGATAAAAGCCTTTCAGAGGCTTTTTTTCTGAAGCTTCTTTCAGAGGCTTTTTTCAGCCTCTGAAACCTACGTTTGCGAGGCTGGGCAGGGCTACATTCGAAGTACAAGACGCACCCAGATTTTCACCCTCTTTTTTGGGGGGAAAAGCTGCATCTTATACTCTGAAAAATACGATAACTGAATGAAACGACTAATACAGTGTTGAATTATCCCATGGCAAGTTGTCCTGCAGTGAGTTGGCTATGGCAAGTTCGTTGATATGAGTTAGCCATGGTGAGTTGTCGTAGACCAGGGGTATCAAACTTAAGGTCCGCAGGCTGGATCCGGCCCACAAGATGCTTAAATCTGGCCTGCGGGGCCACCCTGGAAACAGTGAAGGACCAGCCCATGGTGCCTCTGCCAATGAAAACAGAGCTCAGGAAGGCTGTGTGTGGCCCTCCCAAGCTCCATTTTCTCCAGCAGAAGCAGTGGTGAAATGCTCCCGGTTCGGACCGGACTGCCCGATCTGGTAGTGATGGCGGCGGGTGGTTCGGAGAAGTGGTAGCAAACATCCCTGCCCCCCCCCATGCCCAGCTGAGCCACGCAATCATCAGAGGCTTTTTATTTTTACTTTTAAAAGCATTTAGAGGTTGTAGAAAAAATGCTTTTAAAAGTAAAAAAAAAAAAGTTGGCCACGCCCATCCAGTCACATTACCTTCCCACCAAGTCACGCCCACAGAACCGGTAGTAACAAATTTTACATTTCACCACTGGGCAGAAGGTTGAAGTAGGCCAAAAATGGAGCTTGTGAGGGGCACGTGCGGCGCTCCCGTGCTCTGTTTTTGCTGGCAGAGGGTTGTAGGAGGCCGTTGCAGTTGGAAATGGAGCTCAGGAGCCTGTTTTCACGGGCATTTATTCTATAGTCCATTTGTTTGTTTTCCCGCTGCGGCGGCGCAGTGGTTAGAATGCAGTACTGCAGGCTACTTCTGCTGACTGCCAGCTGCCTGCAATTTGGCAGTTCAAATCTCACCAAGCTCAAGGTTGACTCAGCCTTCCATCCTTCCGGGGTAGGTAAAATGAGGAGCCAGATTGTTGGGGTGCAGTACGCTGACTCTGTAAACTGCTTAGAAAGGACTGGAAAGCACTGTGAAGCGGTATATAAGTCTGAGTGCTATTGCTATTGCTATCAAGTAACCAACTATGATGGATATAACAGGCTAGACAGGGGAGGGGGAAACCCTTAGTGGTAAAATGTTTGGAGAATTTCATTTGTCTTTGGAAAGATTCCATGAAATTGCTTCTACCTTCTCCCTCCTTCATTCCCCATCTGACCAGAACTAAATTGGTGAATTTTGAAAGACGATTTCTGCATCTTTTTATCGGCTCTTTGTAGAAATCCAATAATGTATGGCTTGGTATATTAAGTACACATTATTGTCTGGCTCAGCTTGACCCACATTCTATTCCTCTCCACTTATGCTCTTAAGCCAATTCTACTTTAATATCAATTTATGCCTCATTAGATACCTGGATATGAAGCCAGCTGAGCTCCTGCATTTCGGTGTATTTAGTTTTTAGAGTGAAATTTCAATTCACTGAAGAATTGAACATCCATATACATGGATCATGGCTCATGAATTAATTACGGCATCTTTCGGAAACTTGACATATACTTTATGCCATGCCTAAGACAATTTCCTTGTTCAGATGCATCAGAAAACTGTGATTTAATAAACCTTAGCAGCAACAGGCAGCTGCTAATTAGGAGGTGACAATGTCCAGTTTCCAGCTGTGACTAAACACTAGTTTTGAGCAACTCCAGCTGGTCCGAACAATGGGAAGGGATGTGGAAATTCTAGCTCATCAACATCTGGAAGGTTGGATATTGTCACCTCTTCATTTAAAGACCGCATTGACTGTAATAGGCAGCGCATCCAAAATATTGAAATGCAGAGTATTTTTCTTCCTTGCCAGCTAGAGAAGGTGAAATCCTAAACACGTCGTTGTATAAACTATTGCTGTCTGTCTATGTGCTTGATATGGACTGCTAAATGGTCCTTGGTTATCGTTTTGTTCATCCTACCAAAAATACTAATTCTTTATCCTCTGTTTGTATTTCAGGAAAAGCATGACCACTTTACTACTAGCATGTGTGTGTTTGCATGTCATCGCTGCAGCCACCTCTGTGGATGTTTTAGGTATGTCCCACCTGGGCCTCCACCTTTACTAAGAATTGTAAAACAAAACAAAAGCAATTCAGTGCCTTTTCTGGGAAGTAATGGACAATGTCCTTGCAGTTTGTAAAAGTACTATCATGCTGTTGCTTCTTCTACATCAGGGGTGTCAAACTCGATTTCATTGAGGGCCTCATCAGGGTTGTGGGCACATTGGAGGGGGGGCAGGGATGGGATGGCCGTAGCCAGGGTGGGTGTAGCCAGGGTGGGCATGGCCAGTTTAACATCACTCATTGAGGCTCCGTTTTTGGCCGTGACGGCCTCCTGCAGCCCTCTGCCAGCGAAAAACAGAGCCTGGGGAGGCCGCATGTGACCCCCCCTCCCGGGCTCCGTTTTCAGCCACGATGGCCTCCTGCAGCCCTCTGCCAGCAAAAACAGAGCCTGGGGAGGCCGCGTGCGACCCACCTGGGCTCCATTTACAGCCACGATGGCCTCCTGCAGCCCTCTACCAGCAAAAACGGAGCCTGGGGAGGCCGTGCGTGACCTACCTGGGCTCCGTTTTCAATGACGATGGCCTCCTGCAGCCCTCTGTTAGCAAAAAGGCATGCAGCCTCCCCGGGCTCTATTTTCACTGACAAAGGACTTCAGGAGGCTGTCGTGGCTGAATTGCAACCCTCCCGAGCTCCATTTTTGCTGGCACAGGCACCATGGGCCAGTCCTTCACTATTTCCAGGGTGGCTGCACAGGCCAGGTCTAAGCACCTTACAGGCCAGATGCGGCCCGCCTGGCCTTGAGTTTGACATCCCTGTTCTACATTCTAATTTATCAGAGTTTTCATCTTCTGATATTGAACAGCTTGTAAAGCAAAGAAGGAATGTCACATGACCTTCCACATGATGGTAGCTGCAGTCTCCATCATCCTATATACCCGTGATGGCGAACCTATGGCACAGGTGCCACAGGTGGCACACGGAGCCATATTGGTGGGCACATGAGTGTTGCCCTAGCTCAGCTCCAGCGCACATGTGCGCACCAGCCAATTGATTTTCAGGCTTTCCGGTCCCATCGGAAGTCGGGAAACTGGCTGTTTCCAGCCTCCGGAAGGTCTCCAGGGGAATCGGGAAGGCTGTTTTTGCCCTCCCCAGGCTCCTAGAAAGCCCCTGGAGCCTGGGGAGGGGGAAAAGTGGGCCTACCGTGCCCACTGTGCCATCGTGTGCCAAAAGCAGTGGGAAGTGTGGGGAGGTCATGTGTGCATGCGCAGGAGAGCGGGGCGCATTGAATTATGGATGTGGGCACACGCACCACAACTCCCCATGCTCTCCCCGCTTTTGGCACGCGACGGCAAAAAGGTTAGCCATCACTGCTATATACTATTAAGCATAGTGGTTGAGTTTATGAAAGTTGTGCTTCAGCTATTATTGTACATCCAGAAGACTCCATCTTCTCCTCTGCCCTTGTCTTAAAAGAACTCTCAACATTTTACAGATGCACACACACTTACAGTTAAAATGACCATGCTAGAAACTGGAGGAGGATAAAATATAGTAGAGAAACAACACGCGAAATAACAATAAGAGGGCTCAGTCCCCAAAACGCTCTACAAAAGAGCTCTGTTTTAAGTTTTTTGCAGAAGGCCATCAGAAAGAGAGAGAGCCAAACTAATGTCAACCGGGAGGCCATTCCAAAGGGGCGGCACTGCCACAAAGAAGCGACTTCCCAGAATTGAGGAACCACAATCCCTCTCACCTCCTGGAAGTGAGGAACCACAAGCTGCTTCTTCTGGAATAGTTGTGCAGCTCCAGCTGATTCTAACTGGAGAAAGCAGTCTTGGAAGCAACCAAGTGCCAAGCCATAGAGGGTTCTATTGATTGAAACCAGGACTTTAAACTGAACTTAGAAGCTTATTGGCAACTCACGTAGGGGTTGTAGCACATGCATAATGTGCTCCCAATGACACAAATTAGCGAATACAGAGGCTGCTGCAATCTGGACCCTCTGCAGCTTCCAAGTAGGTTTTTAAACAGTCCCAAGTACAGCAATGCAAGAGAAGGCTAGTAGGCTAATGGGGAAGGCATGATCCATTTTAGGGAAGTTCTTTCACCCCAGGTAGATCACAAGATCACGTGAAATGTTAATACCACTTTATAATGCCTTGGTAAGGCCACACTTGGAATCCTGCATTCAGTTTTGGTCGCCACGATGTAAAAAGGAGGCAGAGACTCTACAAAGAGTGCAGAGAAGAGCAACAAAGATGATTAAGGGACTGGAGGCTAAAACATAGGAAGAACGGTTGCAGGAACTGGGTATATTTAGTTTAATGAAAAGAAGGACTAGGGGAGACATGATAGCAGTCTTCCAATATCTCAGGGGCTGCCCCAAAGAAGAGGGAGTCAAGCTATTCTCCAAAGCAGGGCCAAAGGGCCGGACAAGAAGCAATGAGTTGTGTCTAAGGGCTGGCCATGTTTGCCAGTAAAGGGACACAGGCAGTTTTTCCATGGGGCCTGCTTTGGAAATGATTCTGCCTGTGCAACAGCAAGTATGATTCTGTGGTACTGACATTTCACTCTTCTCCTTTTCTTTTGGGGATTAGTCGATCACAGCGGCACACTCAGTGTGAGCATACCTTTACGTTCTCCTCTGCGGGTCTCCCTGGGAAGAACGTTGACCATTCCTTGCTACTTTATCGACACTTTGGGGCCAGTCACCACAGCTCCCAACACCCCACCAGTGTCCCCAAGAATCAAATGGAGCAAACTATCTGAAGACAAAGAAGTTACCCTCCTAGTGGCCATGGATGGGCAGGTACGGATCCACTCTGCCTACAAGGAGTCTGTCTCTCTACCCAATTATCCTTCCATACCAACGGATGCTACTTTGGAAATCAAAACACTCCGGTCCAATGACACTGGGATCTACCGCTGTGAAGTCATTCATGGTATCGAGGATAGCCAGGACACAGTGGAGGTGAAAGTTAAAGGTGAGAAAGCAAATCTTCTTTACTCAGTGGTGAAATCCAATTACTTTTACTACCGATTCTGTGGGCGTGGCTTGGTGGGCATGGTGTGGCTTGGTGGGCGTGGCTTGGTGGACATGGCAGGGGAAGAATACTGCAAAATCTCCATTCCCACCTCACTCCAGGGGGAAAGATATTGCAAAATCTCCATTCCCACCCCACTCCAAGGGGAAGTAAACTGCAAAATCTCCATTCCCACCTCATTCTGGGGCCAGCCAGAGGTGGCATTTGCTGGTTCTCTGAACTACTCAAAATTTCCGCTACCGGTTCTCCAGAACCTGCCAGAACCTGCTGGATTGCCCAGGGAGGGCAAAAACGCCCCCTCTGCCATGGTGCAGAAGGCGACTAGGCCATGCCCACCATGGCCACACCCACCCAGCAACCAGGCAGAGAACCCCTTGCTAAATTTTTTGAAGCCCACCCCTGGTTAAATGTCAAACTTGATGTGAGAAGATCACATTTTTTTTCTCATAGGAAGATGGCAGTGCTAAGAAGTCAGCCATTTGACCATTTTTGCCTGAAAATGATTTTAGATTTTGTCATTCACCTCTATGGATATGAATGGCTCAAATTACAAGCACACATCATACAAAATTTGGCTGCTCTTGGGGGAACTAGCATCTTGTAGATATTCAACCCTTTTATTAAGCTAGGCATCAAAATATTGCACCAATCCAGAAGGTGGGTTAGTTCAAGTAGCCAAGTGAAGCCTGTTGTGTGAACTGAACCAATGTGTTTTCCAGGGATCGTGTTCCATTACAGAGCCATCTCTACCCGCTACACGTTAAACTTTGAGAAGGCAAAGCAGGCATGCATCCAGAACAGTGCCGTCATTGCAACTCCTGAGCAGCTCCAGGCTGCCTATGATGATGGCTTTGACCAATGCGATGCTGGTTGGTTGTCTGATCAAACAGTCAGGTAAGCAATTGCGAAAGGTGGGGGTGGGGGAGATTGTATACCATTTCGTCCAACACATCTGTCAGGTGTGAAGAATTGGGACCACACATTAAGTTCCAGTTAAGATGATGCATTGCTCATGTCTATACACAAGAATCTAGTCAACAAACAGTCATCGCTAAATTGGCACAAGATAGAGTCAGTGGAATTCAAGAGGGGTTGGATTTAGACCATTTGTGGGAACGTAATGACTCTAGACTGAGTCCATTCTTGACTCCTCCACCTGGCTCTTCTTGCTCGTCTCCTACACCATCTGGGTAAACTAGAATACATTTCCATGTTCCCAAGCCAGGATGGAGAATAGCAATAGGAATAGCAATAGCACATAGACTTATATACAGCCCTCTCTAAGTGGTTTTACAGAATCAGCATATTGCCCCCAAAATCTGGGTCCTCATTTTATCCACCTCGGAAGGATGGAAGGCTGAGTCAACCTTGAGCCGGTGAGATTTGAGCTGCCGAACTGCAACTAGCAGTCAGCTGAAGTAGCCTGCAGTACTGCACTGTGCCACCTCGGCTCTTATAGAAGCCTGGCTATATGCAAACACAGGGTAAAGAATAATCATGGTGAAATGTTAAATGGTGCTGTGGGTCAGCAATTAGAGAAGGGGTAGGAATTTACGTGTCTTGGCTGTCTCCTTCCTGTCCATTTGATGAGAACTGGAGGCTTTATAGCAGGTGAGGAATCAGATTTCTCTCTCCACACAATTCTGTTGGCCTGGATAACGTTAGTGGAAATTCAGGACAGAAAAATGTTTTTTTTTTTGTAAAAGCGTGGGTGCACTGCCTATAGATCTGCAGGTGTCACTGAACTACTTCTCCCACCGTCCCTCACAGATTGGCTTGCTTGCTGAGAGTTGTAGTTAAGTGACTTCCAGAGGGTTAAATTGTGTATAACTCTGCTGCAAGGCAGAGATGGGCAACTTGAGGCCTCATCTCTGAGATTGAATCCAGCTCCAGAATCCAGTTATCATGGTTTCCTATCAGTTAAAGGTAGGAAACCCATTGAGCTACAGTAATAGCCCTTGGCTTAACCAAGTTGGGGGGAAAAAAACCTAAAACAACTGAACACAACAGAATAACCAAGTTGGAAGGAACCTTGGAGGTCTTCTAGTCCAACCCCCTGCTCAGGCAGGAAAGACTATACCATTTCAGACAAATGGTTGTCCAATCTCTTCTTAAAAACTTCCACTGTTGGAGCATTCATAACTTCTGGAGGCAAGTTGTTCCACTGATCAATTGTTCTAACTGTCAGGAAATTTCTCCTTAGTTCTAGGTTGCTTCTCTCCTTGATTAGTTTCCTCCCATTGCTTCTTGTCCTGCCCTCAGGTGCTTTGGAGAATAGCTTGATGCCCTTTTCTTTGTGGCAATCCCTGAGATATTGGACAGGGGTGGGTTCTACATACCTTTACTATCAGTTTGCATCATGCCCGTGCCCTTCTGTGCATGCACAGATCACCTATGATGACTTCAGGGTCAGTGTGTGGAGTCTCCCGCCGGTTTTACTACCGGTTCTGTCGAACCGGTCTGAACCGGGGGCAACCCACCACTGATATTGGAAGACTGCTATCATGTCACCCTAGTCCTTCTTTTCCTTAAACTGGATATACCCAACCGTTTTAGCCTCCAGTCCACTAATCTTCTTTGTTGCTCTTCTCTGCACTCTTTAGTTTATTAGTTTATTTAACTTTCCAGAGTCTCAACATCTTTTTTACATGTTGGCAGCTGAAACTAAAAGTTTCTCTCAAATAAATAAAAAAATCTGATCCTTACCCACATGTCTCGATCATCATGGTCCTAGACGCCTTGACGTGCTATACACAGCACCTGGCAGTGAAAATATCCCCCATTCGTAAATTTGTCCCTCTGAGTCATAATCCCAAATTCTTTCTGTTTTTCTGCAGAGGCAGAAGAAACAATCACAGCTTGCAATTCCATGGTTTTTTTTTTTTAAAAAGAGAGAAACATTACTATCAGAGCTTGGAATAAGAGTTTCCCTGAGGGAGAAATTTCTTACTTTTATGAACAAAAAAAATTATGGGATGGACAATTTAAAGAAAGAAAATGGAGCTTGAAAACAGTGAGAAGAAGCCAGAGAACTGAGTGGTGGAGCTCATTTGTCCACAAAGTGAAGGTTCTCCATGTTAGTTTTTCAATTAACATAAAAGCTATCGTTCCAAATTCTCCTTCAGTCTCAATCATCTTTTTGATTTTTCTGGAAATTATTTATATCCCGGAATATACTATTTCCTTTCTCTGTCCTCTCCCCGTGAAAATAAATTTTCCTCTCCCTAACTCTTTTATTAAACTAGGTACCCAATGCACCATCCTCGAGAAGGTTGTTATGGTGACAAGGATGAATTTCCTGGAGTGAGAACATATGGTGTTCGAGATACAGATGAGACATATGATGTCTATTGTTATGCACAGGAAATGGAAGGTAACGGTTTCTTTTTATACTCAACACACTTATATTCTATTCCTCAGCTAGAAATCCTTAATGATAGCTTGTGCAGGTTTTAAACATTGCTCAACTATTTGAGCAGCAAAATAAACACATTGATTTGATGTGCTTTTAGATGCTTTTTAAGGTTGTGAGGCTCTTTTCCCAACTTGTACAAAGATTATTAAATGGGAGTTCTTGTCTTCTAAAATATTGGGAATATCTTTGGATTTAATATACCATTGGAGGCTATGTTAATCGCAAAGATCATGGACTGTGCAGAGGCAGACAAACTTACCGGTCTCTTGCGAGATAGACAAGAATCGGGGTTGTATATGAGTTGGGACTGGTGGTATGCTTGGCTGCAAGAAAGAAACCTGAAGAAGAATGTAAAATAATAATCTCAATATGATTGTGGGTAAATATTTATAGGAATATTGTATGGTAGTTGGGAATTCTTTCTTCTGGACACGTCTTCTATTTTGATGATTTTGCCTTAATGGAGGTTTGTCCTATTATCAGATGAAAGCTGATGTTCTAAACTCTATATGTATTATGTTACTTTCTGCAATCCTATCTATATTGCTATATTTTTTCTTTTGTATTTTTTAAATAATTTTCAATAAAAATTTAAAAATTAAAAAATAAAATATTGGGAATATCCACAATACTCAGGAAGGGGACTGTGGATATTTTAATCAGCACAATTAAAGGCAACGTCAAAAAAGGAAATGTTGAAGGCCGATCAATGGGAGGACCACTTGAAGCAGTTGCAGAGCAGCTGTTAAGATCAACCAGTTTGATCCACCAACAAAGCAAAGATCCATCTTGTTCTTCTTTGTCCATTCCCCTTACCCACCCACCTAGTCAAGAGTTCCATAGAATCAAGAGTTCCACAGAATCTAGAAACTAGAGTCACATCTTGTCTAGATAATAATGATATCAAAGCACTAATTTCTGGATGACTTCTCCAAAGAGTGATATGGTTTGCCTCCAGAAGTTGTAGGTGCTCCATCACTGGAGGTTTTTAAGAAGCGAATGGACAGCCATTTGTCCAAAATGGTAGAGGGTTTCCTGCCTAAGCAAGGGTTGGATGAGAAGACTTCCAAGGTCCCTTCTAACTCTGTTATTCTGTTCTGTTTGTTTGGGGGGTGGGAGGACAGGGAGATTTTTTTGAAGGAACTGACCTCCCTTTTCTGAATTCCAAAATTATTTTTGGAAAATGAGCCACCTCTAACGTTAAAGGAAATTAATAAGTGTCTGGGGTCTGTTGGCATCAACTAGATATCACAAGTAAATCTGTACTATAATAACTGTACCGTCAGCACCAACCCTATTCAGAACATTTTCTAGATTTATCAAAAACTCTTATTTTTCTTAGTTTTTAAAATCCTGTACTCAAGAATCTGAAAATAGCAGATTTGGTACCCTGCTTCTAATTTAATCCTCTCAGCAACCCATGGAGATACATTATGCTGAGAGAAAAATTGGTCAAAATTGTATAGGAAGTGGCTGGTGGGCTTTATCGTTTAATATTCCGGATTCATCTTTAGGACTGAATGAAAAAGGTTGAATTTGCAGGTAGCAAACTTGGGGAGGAGGGGGCAATTTGCAGACTATTCCCAGGGAGACATAATTCTCTTTCTACGGCGTAGCATCTGAGTAGTTAATGAAAATGTATTATAAGTGAGAGAAGGAGCAAGCTGAGGAAGGAAAATCTTAAGAGAAAACGATAGAGGACACCTGTTATTCTTTTCAAATGGATCCAACAGGGAATAACCTCAATCATTATCCATGTTTGTCATTGTGGCCATGACTGATAAAAATGGGTGAGGTAGTCTTAAGATGATAGGGGCTGTCATTTTTCCATAGTCCAGTTCTTAAGAAATCAAGAGTTCCAATTTATTTATTTATTTAGCGTATGACAAATACATGGACTACAGAGGTGGGATTCAGCCGGTTCTGTCCAGTAGTGGTGACTGCGGGAGGCTCCTCCCAACCTCCCAGGTGTAATGTGAGACCACTGCACATGCGTGAAAGGCTGTGCACATGCGCAGAGGAGCGCATACATTTGCGAACCGGTAGGGAAAGTAAGTGAATCCCACCTCTGAAGGACTTATAGTAGTCCAAATGTCCAGTCCTTCCAGCCATTCAAGGACAGGGTGGACTATGTTGAAAAAAAATCAGGCATTGGGTCAATGTAAGCTCCTTTGTTGTCCTTTGGGCCTGACAAGGCCCATTTTGTTTATCCGTTGCCATGTATTTAGAGAGCCAGGAGTTCTACAAAGATGTCTGACTGCCAACTGTCATTAACTGTCAATTCTTCAATGTAGTCTGGCTCCCAATTGTTGCTAATCGTTTGGTTCACACTTCAGTGGTATCCAGGATGCACCACGAGGAGGAGAACTAGCATCCCACCCCAAGAGTTCCAATTTCTGTCCATTCTCAGAAATGCGTTTTCTAATCAGGGATAATATTCACTTACCTTCGCTACCAGTTTGCAAATGGGAGCGTGGGCGCACGCGTGCGCACGCTTTGCACGCGCCATCTCCGCACATGCACAGAGCATCAAAAATGGGGTGTGATGATGTCTGGGTAGGTGGGCGGAGCCTCCCGCAGCCACCGCTACCAAATCGCCCGAACCGGATAGAACTGGCTGAAATACCACCACTGTTTTCTAATCCATTTTCACGTCCAATGTGTTTTCCCTCTGGACTCTTCAGTCCCTGTATATAAGGAAAGATAATGGATAGAAAAGTCTAATGAAGCTTCTCTGTAGATGGAAGGGGGCACCATTGGGCAGCTAATCGGTGACAATAATTGTGCGTTGTGATTGCAGGCAAAGTCTTCTACGCCACCTCCGCCGAGAAGTTCACCTTCTCAGAAGCAGCAGAGAAATGCCATAGTCTTGGGGCACGTTTGGCAACAACAGGAGAGTTATATCTGGCCTGGAAGGATGGGATGGACGTCTGCAGTGCTGGCTGGCTGGCAGACCGCAGTGTCCGGTATCCCATCAACAAACCAAGTCCCATCTGCGGTGGCAACCTGGTGGGCGTACGTACGGTGTATCTTTACGTCAACCAGACAGGGTATCCTTACCCTCATTCCCGCTACGATGCCATTTGCTACACTGGTGAGTAGAAACAGAAAGAGGCATTGAGATTTTTTTTCCATTCTGTCTCCATTTTGGCAGGTTTTTTTCCTATATTTCATGCTACCTTCGGCTCCCCGCCCTCTTTAAAAAAAACACACACACATGTGCATTTCTCTTCCCCTCAAATATGCATTTGTGTGTCAACTTCCTTCTAAAATAAGAGCCAAGCTGGCACAGTGGTTAGAATGCAGCACTGCAGGATACTTCAGCTGACTGCTAGCTGCAGTTCGGCAGTTCAAATCTCACCGGCTCAAGGTTGACTCAGCCTTCCATCCTTCCGACGTCTGTAAAATGAGGACCCAGATTGGTTGGGGCAAGATGCTGACTCTGTCAACTGCTTAGAGAGGGCTGTAAAGCACTGTGAAGCAGTATATAAGTCTAAGTGCTCTTGCTATTGCTAAATGATAGTCCTGGAACATCCTTAAAATGGGTGAGGCCCCTATTGTGATTTGCTTTACCAAAGCGAATAACTTGACGGTTATCTTCTTTGTGCTTTAGATGTTGGCATTCATGTCATCCATGATAATATCACAGATGACTCTGGCGATGAATTGGGCAGTGGCTTCACCATCCAGACATTCACTGAGACAGATATTGAGCTGGAGCTTCCACGCAACACCACCGAAGAAGAAGCTCGAGGAAGCATTGCAACCTTGGAACCGATAGACTTTACTACCACTACCGTAGAGGTGGATGAAGCCATCACAGAAACCCCAGATCTCTTTCCAACAGGTTTCACTGATGAGACCGAGAACAGGACTGAATTTGGGATCTGGGAGGACTTAGAAAATGGTACTGTCTCAACCCTGGATACACTCTTCCCAACCGATATCCCGGAAACTACATCAGAGGAATATATTTCATGGCCTACTGCCACAGCAGAATCTGAATCAGCCTCACCATTTACAGTAGAAGAGCAAATTGTGCCAGGGACAGCTGCTTCTGCTGTTGATCAAGTCCCTCGGAAACCCACTTCTCCCACAGGTACACAACCAAGGCTGTTTTTCAATGAATATTTCGCCTTCCTACAGCAATGGCCAAAATTGTGGAAACCTTTTGGGAAAAAAGTGTATTTTTGAGGTTTGGTAGCTAATAACACCACTTTTTTGGGGGGGAGTTTCAAGATAATCCTATTCCACTGCTGGAATGGCCTGGGAATAGCCCAGACCTTAACCCAATTGAAAATCTATGGAAGCGACTAAAGAAAATGGTTAGTCAGAAGCGACCCAGCAATAAAACCCAGTTAATAGAAGCCATCATTCAATCTTGGTTTCACATGATAACAGCTGCAGAACTAAAAGACTTGGTTCGCTCCATGGGAAGACGTTGTAAGGCCATAATTCATGCTAAAAGTTACACAACTAAGTATCAGCTGACATGCTGAAAAAAAATTTATATCTCGTTTTTTCTATGTATTTCACTTTTCTTCTTTACACCGTAACTGCTATTCTAATAGCAAATCCTTCATAAAAGTTATGGCATTACATTCTTGATTGAATTATCTTTCCATTGATATATAAGTGGTGTTATTAGCTAACTTAACTTTTCCTAAAAGGTTTACACAATTTTGGCCACTACTGTATATAGTAAGGTGAAGCATCAAGCTGATGAATAGACAAAAATAATAGAGAATTCAAAAAAATAGGCAAAAGCACTGAAGTGATTAGTAGCATTATTATTATTATTATTATTATTATTATTATTATTATTATTATTATTCTGCATGGTTTGGAATCAGGTTATCGGAAGGACGGTTTTTTCCCAGTTACATCTATCTACCTGACCCATCAGAACAGGGAGGCAGGGAATGTTGCAAGTCCCCTCTCCTAAGGAGATACCTCTGGTGAGAGTGGGACCCAGAAGAAGAGCCTTTTCCATTATCCCCATGGAAATTAGACTGGCCCCCATTTTGACAACTCTTTTGCAAAGTCCTGAACACCTGGTTTGGCCAACGAGCCTAAGGAACCAAGAGTGGGATGGAGCCCATTAAGTGGCTTATCTGATTTATTGTTGTCACCAGGGAGGTGGGATGGGGTTATTGTCTTTATTGTTTGTTGGATTTTATTGTATACTAGCTGATAACCCGGCGTCGCCCGGGTATTTATTTATTCCAATCCTGTATTAGACAGGAAGAGCAACTTCATCCTGAGCCCTGATTTCAGCGAGAATTAAATTAGTTAAAAATGTTTTCCCTGTATCCCCAGAAACATCAAGTAAAATAATACCACCTTGTTGTTTTTGCTAGCTGATCCATGATCATTTGGTATGCTTTTTGCTGATCTTGATTTAGAAATGGCTTCTTGTCCAGAATATATGCACTAAGCTGTTTGATGTTGTAGTTCTTTTCTCGTATGTAATCTGCAATCTCGGCAGGCTGAGTTGCAGTAATGTTTTATTGATCATGGCCATACATTTGCCGTCAAGAATAATCAAAACCTTGTTGAAAATGTCCGGACCAAACATAATTTCTTATGTTGGATTTTCCCCCTTACCAGAGGGATCCCCCTTGTGGAATACTTTAAAGCCATTACTATGGCAACTCCACTGTGCTGCATGGTAGAAGCCATTTTAAGGCAGTACAGTAGAAGCCACTTTAAGGCACAACAGGCTGTATCTTAACAGAACTCACACCCAGAGGGGTGTTAGGGTGTCTTCCCCCCCCCACACACAGTATTTTTTTCCAGAGAGTAAGTCATTTGTGTACCAAGTTTGGTTGAAATTGCTTGAGGCATTCCAGAGTTATGCTGGAACATACAGAGAGAGAGAAAGAGCCATATATATATATATATATATATATATATATATATATATATAATATATATATATATATATATATATATATTATATATATTAAGTATTTTTCTGTCGAGGCACCTGGTCTACCCCAGCATGTGGGAGGGAGCATACTGCATCCCTTTCACCTTTCAGCTCCAATCCAGGAGCCCTCAAGCAGTCGCATTCACCACAAACCATTTTATACCAAATTTATATTTCGCTGATAAAGAAATTGCTTGAAATAGATCTATACTAGCAGCCATATAAATTCTGTTCAACAAACAAACAAAGATTACTCAAAAGCATGGCCAGAGAGAAAGGTTTGGGGTCCTTGCTTGTAGGTTCAGAGTAGGAGCGATGTCCATGAGAATGCATTTCATGACTGGAAGAGAGGAGACAGGAGATGATCCTGCCATGTGCAGGACAGAGTGAGCATTTCTGAGCCAGGTTTCTAACAGGTTGAAATCCTTGCACTAAGCCATGAAGATCAATCTGAGTCACCTCATTGAGCCAGGTTGTGTGAACATGGTTTCTGAGCTCTCTTCCTCACCTCATTCTGCATCTTCAAACTCTCTCCATACTTTTCCCCTTCTTCTCTGACACCTTTTCTCTCTTCAGTTTTTCAACATAGGTGGATGCACGATAGAGTCCACCAACAATCTTCATGATTCTTTCCTGAGAAAGGAAAGAGACACAATCTCTACTGAGATTTTGGAAGAGGATGTTTTTAGAATTATAGAATAGCCGAGTTGGAATGGACCTTGGAGGTGTTCTAGTCCAACCCCCTGCTTAAGCAGGAAACCCTATACCATTTCAGACAAGTGGTTATTCAACGTCTTCTTAAAAACTTCCAGTATTGGAACATTCACAACTTCTGGAGACAAGTTGTTCCACTGAGTTAATTATTCTAACTGTCAGGAAATTTCTCCTTAGTTCTAGGTTGCTTCTCTCCTTGATTAGTTTCCACCCATTGCTTCTTGTCCTACCTTCAGGTGCTTTGGAGAATAGCTTGACTCCCTCTTCTTTGTGGCAGCCCCTGAGATACTGGAACACTGCTATCATGTCACCCTTGGTCCTTCTTTTTATCAAACTAGACATACCCAATTCCAGCAACCGTTCTTCATATGTTTTAGCCTCCAATCCCCTAATCATCTTTGTTGCTCTTCTCCGCACTCTTTCTAGAGTCTCCACATCTTTTTTACATCATGGCGACCAAAACTAAATGCAGTATTCCAAGTGTGGCCTTACCAAGGCATTATAAAGTAGTATTTAACACTTCACGTGATCTTGATTCTATCCCTTTGTTTATGCAGTCTAAGAACTGTGTTGGGTTTTTTTGGTGGCTGCAGCACACTGCCAAACAAACCTTTTATACAAACCTTTTCCAAGTGTTTGCACCACACAGGAACTCTACCCTCCTCCCATATGAATCAAATGCCAAGAGTTGTACGGAATACAGGAATAACTCCCTGCAAAATATTTTATTTTGTTTCCTTAATTACCACCTGTGTGTCCTATTTCTTTTTCAACCCACTTCCTCCTTCTGTTCTGCTGATTTCTCTGCAGGTGTTGTTTTTCATTACCGGCCATCCACCAACAGATATTCCCTGACTTTTTTGTTGAAGCTCAGCAAGCTTGCCTAAGCAATCATGCTGTTATTGCTACTCCAGAACAACTACAGGCTGCCTATGAAGAAGGATACGAGCAGTGTGATGCTGGCTGGCTGAACGACCAGACAGTCAGGTAAGGCCCTGGGCTGATGGCTGAGGAAGGAAAGTACCACAAAGAGAGATTTTCCTCTCAGCAGATCAGATTTTTCTTTCTACTTTAATCAGCCTCTGGGGATTCCCCATTAAACAGGATTACCACTAATTTCTATACCCTGTTTTCCCGAAAATAAGACATCCCCTGATAATAAGCCCAATTGGGCTTTTGAGCACATGCACTAAAATAAGCCTTTCTCCCGCCCTTAAAATAAGCCCTCCCTGAAAATATTTAAATGCAGAGCTGGAAATCAGGTAAGACTGCAAGAGGAGCCCCATCTTGCTCCACCGCCCCAAAATAATAAGACTTGCCCAAAAATAAGGCCAAGCGCTTATTTTGGAGTTCAAAAAAATATAAGACAGGGTCTTATTTTGGGGAAAACACAGGTAGATTCTATTATTGGGACGCCAAGGAAAAATTTCCCCATATTATCTATCTGATTCCAAGAATAGAGACCCTGGAATATATGGGATGCTGTCCCAAAGGTGCTTTTTTCAGGAGGCAACTGCACTTTCTAGTTTTTCTTTGAAGACGTTTCGCTTCTCATTCCAAGAAACTTCTTCTGAGCCGAAGAAGCTTCTTGGAATGAGAAGCGAAACGTCTTCAAAGAAAAACTAGAAAGTGCAGTTGCCTCTTGAAAAAGTACCTTTGGCACATCCATGACCTGGATGACTGAGAATCTCCATAGACATATGGGATTCTGTATATATCTCTCCCCATTGGTCCTCCCAAAGATTCCACTGGACTAATTTTCAATACAAAATGGGGAGCTGCATACAACACACATCACCCAGTGCTAAATTAATCCATTTTTGTTAGGTCCCCGTGATGTCTTGGATCTTACACTAGTCAAATTGGTTGAGTTTGCAGAAACAGGCCACCTGTCCAAAAGACTAAACAGCATTTAAATGATACGGTGTTATGTATAAGCAACCAATGTGATCTTAAGTGCCCTAGGTATACCTGTTATGGGAGCCCAATCAAGGATTAATTGACTGTGTCTACTTGATCAGACTATAATTCAAATATAATTAATCACATTTAATTTTCTCCTGGCCTTCTTGAATGCAATGCTTGTGTGCCACTTAAACTCCAAGGCCATTCCTGAGCTTGGAAAGATTTGTGCACCTGGATCAGTCTTCTGTGATCCTAAAAAAATGAGAAGGCTTAGCCTTCTACATGAACAGGCACATGGTGGCTCAGTGGCTAAGACACTGAGCTTGTCGATAGAAAGGTCGGCAGTTCAGCGGTTCGAATCCCTAGTGCCGCGTAATGGGGTGAGCTCCCATTACTTGTCCCAGCTTCTGTCAACATAGCAGTTCGAAAGCACTTAAAAAATGCAAGTAGAAAAATAGGGACCACCTTTGGTGGAAAGGTAACAGTGTTCCGTGTGCCTTTGGCATTTAGTCATGCCGGCCACATGACCATGGAGACATCTTCGGACAGCGCTGGCTCTTCGGCTTTGAAACAGAGATGAGCACCGCCCCCTAGAGTCAGGAACGACTAGCACATACATGCGAGGGGAACCTTTACCTTTTCCTTTAGCCTTCTACATTTTTCCAGGCACAGAGATGGATTTCAATGGAAATTCCATCAGGAGAGTTCCCGCTGCAGATTAAAATAATACAATTGAGATTCAAGTTTATAAATTCAGTTGAATCTTACTCCAAGAGGTTCTTCCTGGAAAATGATGCTTGAAATTCTAAGGGTTTTTTTTGTTTGTTTGTTTAATTTGATTTATATGCCGCCCTTCTCCGGAGACTCAGGGCGGCTTACAATGCGTTAAGCAATAGCCTTCATACTTTTGTATATATTTATACAAAGTCAGCTTATTGCCCCCACAAACTGGGTCCTCATTTCACCTACCTTAGAAAGGATGGAAGGTTGAGTCAACCTTGAGCCTTGGAGAGATTCGAACCAGCAGTAATTGCAGGCAGCTGTGTTAATAACAGGGTGCTTAGACCACTGTACTATCAAGGCAGTAAGTAAAGACATCATACCAATAAAGGAGAATATCTGTAGCTCAGAGTTGAAATGAGGGGTTCGATGCTCTCTGAGCTTGCTTGTTTTCTTAATGCCACATCTGCAAGAAAACAAACAAGCTCAGAGAGCACCAAGGACCCCTCAAAGACATAATACTTCTAAAACCTAATCCAAGGCTTTGAAGCACTGGTATGGGACTCTGCCTACTTTAGAGTTATCAACCCACCCATTTCTTTCTCTCCAGAAAAATATTTACACCCACCTTGTCAGCTCACAGGAGAGTTTCAAATTCTTCAAACTGCAGTGAAGGAGCTGCCAATGACGTACTTTGCAAACCTGAAAGGAAATGCGTTTGTTCTGGCTTAAGCATTTTCTTGATTACTAAGTATATTTTCTCCCCCGCACAAATTTGGAAGGCTGCTTCTATTTATTTTTATCTGTTTTGTTAAACGTATAAGGCTGCTTGATGGCAAGGAGCCTCTTAAGTGGTTCCCAATTGGTTTAACGGCATATCGTCAAACAATACAGAAATCAGTAAAAATGACAACAGCACACATTAGAGCAGTGTTTCTCAACCTCGGCAAGTTGAAGATGAGTGGACTTCAACTCCCAGAATTCCCCAGCCAGCTATGGTATGCTGGCTGGGGAATTCTGGGAGTTGAAGTCCACTCATCTTCAAGTTGCCAAGGTTGAGAAACACTGCATTAGAGGAATACAAAACTTAAAACTAAGGAACAATGCAGCATAATAGGGTTGGAAGAATTTATAAACTCAAATCTCTCAATGCAGGTTCGCAATGATTTTGAAATCATGCAAAGTTGTTGTCACATTCATTTTAATTTTGTTCAGCGAAGAGATTGATAACGTAATAGTGGGCCAGCTGAGAAACTTGGTTCAGATCTGCCAGTTGTGACCTCGCCAGGTACCCAGAACTGAAAGCTTTTGGGCGGACTATGAAGTATTTCCAAAGGTGGTCAGCAAACTACAGCTTTTAACGCTTTATCCATTAAGTACAGGATGAAGGGATCATAAAATTTATTGAGTTAATGAATTATAAATTTATGAAATAGTTTTAGTCTCATTTACTTTGGGAATGTAGCTCCAAACACATTCCCAGAAAGCTAAGTGCAATCCTTACACTGAAAACCCTGGCTACCAACCTGCCTTCTATTGAGGACCTGTATACTGCACGAGTCAAAAAGAGGGCTGTGAAAATATCTACAGACCCATCGCATCCTGGACATCAACTGTTTCAACTCCTATCCTCAAAACGATGCTATAGAGCACTGCACACCAGAACAACTAGACACAAGGACAGTTTTTTCCCGAATGCCATCATTTTGCTAAACAAATAATTCCCTCAACATTGTCAAACTATTCACTGCACTTCTATTAATCTTCTCATCGTTCCTATCACCCATCTCCTACCACTTATGACTGTAACCTTAAGATTTATATTGACTGTTTCCTAATATGATTTGATTGCTTATTTGTTCCCTATGACTATCATTAAGTGTTGTACCTTATGATTCTTGATGAATGTATCTTTTCTTTTATGTACACTGAGAGCGTATGCACCAAGACAAATTCCGTGTGTGTCCAATCACACTTTGCCAATAAAGAATTCTATTCTATTCTATTGCAGTAGTGGCCAAAATTGGGGAAACCTTTTGGGGGAAAAAATGTATTTTTGAGGTTTGATGGCTAATAACACCACTTTTTGGGGGGGCGGGGGGGGTAGTACCATAAAATTATATATCAATGGAAAGATAATTTAATCAAGAATGTAATGCAATAACTTTTATGAAGGATTTGCTATTAGAATAGCAGTCACAGTATAAAGAAAAAAAAGTGTGAAACACTTAGAAAAAAATGAGATATACAAAAATTATCACCACGTCAGTTAATACTTAGTTGGGTAACCTTTAGCATGAATTATGGCCCTACAACGTCTTCCCATGGAGTGAACCAAGTCTTTGAGTTCTGCAGCTGTTATAATGAGAAACCAAGATTGAATGATTGCTTCTATTAACTGGGTTTTATTGCTGGGTCGCTTCTGACCTATAACTTTTCACAGAATACAGATAATTGAACAATCTTTGTTGCATTACATTCTTGATTAAATTATCTTTCCATTGATATATAATTTTATGGTACTACTTTACTTACTTTACTTTTATTTAATTTGTATACCGCCCTTCTCCCGAAGGACTCAGGGCGGTGAACAGCCAACAATAAAATACATACATACAAAATTTAAAAAACAGAACTAAAATCGAATTAAATAATTTGGCCTAGACAGATTAAAACCCCAATCAATTTAAAACAGATTTAAACTTTGAAAATTAAAAGATATTAAAAATATTAAAGTATTAAAATTGTTTAAAAGTTGTTTAAAAAGAGGGAGAAATTTAGGCCAGGCCCGCCTGGTGAAATAAAAAGGTCTTTAGAGCGTGGCGGAAGGTGCACAGATCCGGGATCCTCCGTATCTCCGGGGGGAGCTCATTCCAGATAGTAGGTGCCCCCACAGAGAAGGCTCTCCTACTACACACACACACACACACACCCCAAATGTGGTGTTATTAGCCATCAAACCTTAAAAATACACTTTTCCCAAAAGGTTTCCACAATTTTGGCCACTACTGTACATGATCCTAGCCCACCTTAAGCATTTCTCAACTATGAGTGAACAATTCTGAGACCTTTGATGATATTTATCCCTGTTGGCCAGGTATCCCATTGTCGTTCCACGCAGCAAATGTTCTGGAGACAAAGAAAACTTCCCTGGAGTGAGGTCATATGGTATGCGCCCAGCATCAGAAAAGTTTGATGTCTACTGTTATATTGAAAGACTGAAAGGTATGTTTACATTTATGGGACCTTCTGGAGAAGTGCTTTATTCATATCTGATGTAGTCATGGAAATAGGGCTGGACAATATTTTAGTTTCAATCTCCAAAGAGGAAGGAAGGTAAGAAGCAGTCAACAACATCTTAAGGTGTTGAAGGCTGAAGTGCTCTGAGACAAAGAACCTTTCTGGAGACCAGGAATATGACCTGAAGAAAGGTTCATGAAGCGGGTTTCAGAGCAGAGAGGATATTTATTTACAGGAAAAGCATTGTAGAGATAGACACAGCCTAGAGCAGGGGTTGGCAACATTAAACACTCAAAGAGCCATTTGGACCCGTTTCCCACAGAAAAGAAAACACCGGGAGCCACAAAACCCTTTTGACCTCTAAAATGAAGATCACACTGCATATATCCAATTTCTCACCACATATTAAGCATACTGGTAAACTAGTCTCATCAGCAGTGAAAGCAAATGAGTCTGCCCATGTACCATTAAACGTTCTGCTTTCTTCTGAAACTTTTCTTGGATTTATCCATGGTTGGCCTCCCAGGGGTTGAAAAGCTCAATAAATCACGTACCAGTGGGTGTCACACATTGACAGTTGTGACACATATTTTGAGTGACAGGGAGCCGCAGCAGAGGGGTGAAAGTTCCACGTGTGGCTCCAGAGCCACGGGTTACCGACCTCTGGCCTAGACCCTAGCTAAGTACAGCCCACTAAGAAGAAAGTCAAAAGTTTGAGCTTTGTTATAAATGTGTCCTGGAAGAAAAACAGAACTAAGTGACTTCAGATTAGGAATCACTTAGACCCGTATTTCTGAACCTTGGCAACTTTAAGACATATAGACTTCAACTCCCAGAATTCTCCCACCAGAATTCTAAGAGTTGAAATCCACATATTTTAAAAGTTGATCATGTTGAGAAATGCTAAGATAAAGAGCAAGTAAAAGGTGAGGTAAAGAGGACCTATTCTTATTGGTAGGCCAGGAAGCCTTGATGAATCAACACATTGGATTTGGACCTCTCACACCAACTGCATCCATTTATGGGATTTTTCAGCTGCTTGGAGGTGTTATGGATATATGCTAGATCTATGCTCCATAGAATCTGGGAAAACTTGAATTCCAAGTACTATGTTGCTCTAATGCAGGTAGGATCTCACCACCTTTCATTCATTATCTGTAGGTGAGGTCTTCTTTGCAACTCAGACGGCACAGTTCACCTTCTTGGAAGCCCAAAGATACTGTGTGAGTCAAAACGCGACCATGGCTTCCACTGGACAACTCTACGCTGCCTGGAAACTAGGCCAGGATAACTGTCAGGCAGGCTGGTTGGCTGATGGAAGCCTCCGATATCCCATTGTTCATCCCCGCCCTACCTGTGGTGGAGAGAAGCCCGGTGTGAGAACGATTTACTTGTACTCCAACCAGACAGGATTCCCTGACCCGCAATCAAAGCACCACGTCTTTTGCTTCAAAGGTAAGGAACTGCTCCTCTTTCTAGAACTAGGGAAACAATCTTTTCCATCCAGAATTTAACCTTCCTTCCTTTATATCAGGGGTTCTCCAAACCTGGCAACTTGAAGTCTTGTGGATTTCAGCTCCCAGAATTCCCCAACCACCATAGAGTTTGGAAACCCCTGCTTTATATCATAGAACATAGCATCATAGGGTTGGAAGGTCTTCTTTGGAGGTCTTCTAGTCAGTCAAATAATTTAACAACCGGTTCTCTGCCCTGATGATTGGCTGGATGGGCGTGGCCATGGAGTGTGACAGGCAGCACTCGGCCTCCTGCAGCCCCCTGGGAGCAAAACAGGCCACGGGGGGAGGACATGCCACTCCCTCTGCACCCTGTTTTGTGCCTAGGAGGCCTCCCTGAAGCCTCCTGGGAGCGGAAACGGGCCACAGGGGGACACACCACACCCCCACACTGCATTTTTGGCCTAGTAGGCCTCCCTGCACTTACCTGGAAGCCAAAATGGGGCCCATGGGGACTCCTGGAAGGGGCAGGGAGGGACCAGCCAGCAATTTAACTACCGGTTCACCCAAACCGGCCCGAACCAGATAAATCCCACCACTGCTTCTAGTCCAACCCCTTGCTCAAGCAGGAGACTCTACACCAGGAGTCTCCAAACCAACTCCAAGACTCTCAGACCCAAATTCCAAGAATTCTCCAGTCAGCCAGAATCGATTACAGTTATGCCTTGACTTACAACAGTTTGTTCAGTGATCATTCGAAGTTACAACACCCATCATGAAGACATCATTCTACATCTATCTCGAATTTCCTATTTGGATATCCTGAACAATGATTTTCTGTCTTTCAGCAATGCCATCTCTGTATGGGGAACTAGAAGAAGACTTAATTGCAGTCCAGACAGTCCCTGGTGTAGAAGAAGTTCCTTCTGGGGAAGAAACAACTGTGGAGATGGAATTTGCCACTGATTCTGACAATCAAACTGAGTGGGGAACAGAAGTATTTCCAACCGATACATCACTATTATCTGGTAAGTAAGTGCCATTGGTCAGATAAATAAGTTCCATTGGTCCAACTTCAGAATAAACTACTGCAGCTGCAAATTTTCTGAAAGTATAGGAAACTGTGAATATATATTTAACAATAAGAATGTAGTAAAACCTCACCTTAATATTTGTAATGAATTCCCATTTAACAGGTTTCAAATTTAATGAATGAAATCTAGATCCAGACTAATTCTCCCCACTCCCCAAAAATGCACAGAGTCCAGATAATCTCAAAAAGTGATTTTTGTCCATATGTAAAAAAAAAATCGCATTGTTTGCTCATATCTACTACCTTTGTCATGTACTTCATTCATCTGTAACTACAGCAGAGGTGGGTTTCAGCAGGTTCTGACCAGTTCTTGAGAACCGGTAGCAGAAATTTTGAGTAGTTCGGAGAACCGGTAGTAAAAATTCAGACTGGCCCCACCCCCATCTATTCTCTGCCTCCCGAGTCTCAGCTGATCAAGGGGAAATGGGGATTTTGCAGTATCCTTCCCCTGGATTGGAGTGGGAATGGAGATTTTACAATATCTTTCCCAGTGGTGGGATTCAAATAATTTAACAATTGTTCTCTGCCCTAATGGCCAGATGGGTAGGTGTAGCTCGGTGGTCATGTGACCGTGTGGGTGTAGCTAACTCAACATCACTCACGATGATGGGCGCTTCACCTTAGCTGTTACAATGTAATAAGGGTTAACCAGAGAGGCAGTTTCTGTAAGCAGGGCAATAAAGATTAGGCTAGAAACAACACCAGAATGTTTCCTTCCTGCCTTCCTTACAGGATTAGCCCTGTATAAAGTGGCCAACAACCAATTCTCCGAACTGCTTAGAAAGTTAACAACCAGTTCTCCCGAATAGGTGCGAACTGGCTGGATCCCACCACTGATCTTTCCCCTGCCACTCCCACCAAGCCACGCCCACCAAGCCATGCCGTGCCCACCAAGCCACACCCACAGAACTGATAGTAAAACATTTTGAAACCCACCACTGAACTACAGGCTACAAATAACACACATTTATGCTAGGTAAGTCGAAATTGAGAGTTTAGTGTGTGATGTGAACCCAGGCTCTTTTTGGGCGCCAGTTTTATATTTAAATGGCAAACCACTTTAGGAAAAAACCTTCCCAAGAAAACTGCAAGGATTTGTCTAGGCAGCGTCTGAGAATTGAATTGAATTCTCATAGAATTGAACAAAAATTCCTCGTTATAACCCATTGATGTCTGCAGCTTTCTGAAACTGGTCACATTCTTTGCCTAAAAACCTATCCATGCTATGTTGATGCAAATTGGCAGAACCAACCAAAAAATCCGCTGAGATTGTTAACGGAATAAATACAGCAATATGGCCTCCTTTCAGGTTATCAGATCAATAACGAAAATCCCCCAGATGTTGACATAGACTTTAGCAGAGAAAGAAAAGCTATATCCGCATCAAGTAATGGGCATTAACACTACTGCCGAAAAATTAAGCTCTTGGAAATCTATTTGACAAAAATAATAAGAACTTGGTTTAAAATACTTATTTACAGAGCCGGAGAAATAATATAGCAGATGTTTCCAGATGGGAAAAATTAAACCTTTTCTGGTTAGGAAGAATTGGCGCTATCAAAATGAATATTTTACCAAGACTTAACTTGCTTTTCTGTATGATTCCAATACATATTGAAAAGATATTAAGCAACTGGCACAAATGAGTAATGAATTGCATATGCTCCAATAAAAGATCAAGGATTAAATTCAAGATGTTACAGGATTCAAAAGAGTGAGACAGATTAAAGAGAGTGAGGGTGGCATTCATAGATATTTCTGGTCTGATACAAATAGAAACAAACCGCAGAATACATTATGCAGTAATAAGTAATATATTAAATGTCTGGGATAAAACAAGAAAATAATAAGCCCTGATTGTTCCCCTGTTGTTTTGTTATTAACTGTTTATTTTTATGATGAGCAAAACACTGAAATTCATTCCGTGGAGAGAAAACAATCTGTTTAGATTGCAATATTTGATTACTAACAAGACAAAGATAAAATCTTTCGAGACTCTTCACAATGGTCTCGTACACTTCACTGAGTTTATCTTCATAAAAATAAGAGTACAAAAATAACTGCAGAAACAAAGGGGGAAACATAGAGACGCCACTGAATTTAAACATTTTATAATGTATCACTCAGAATATCTGGGTGCCCTTATTTATAAACTGATGAAGTCTGATCCAGAAACAAGTTCAAGTTTATACCGTAGAATTAAAAGGATGCAGAACTTATAGATGTAGTAACAGATGAAAACTTCAATGGAAGAATGTGAAATTTACTCTGAATATTACATTTAGAGAAAAATTATACATTTCACTCTTGGTATATTACTCCAGTTTTGATTACCAAAAATGGAGAAACCTTTTTCTTAAGGTGTGTATACATCCTTGCTCTGTAAACAATGACTACCAACCTGCCTTCCATTGGGGACCTGTATGCTGCACGAGTCAAAAAGAGGGCTGTGAAAATATCTACAGACCCCTCGCATCCTGGACATAAATTGTTTCAACTCCTACCCTCAAAACGATGCTATGGAGCACTGCACACCAGAACAACTAGACTCAAGGACAGTTTTTTCCCGAACGCCCTCACTCTGCTAAACAACTCATTCCCTCAACGCTGTCAAACTATTCACTAAGACTGTATTACTATTATTCTTCTCTTCCATACTAGTATCTATCTCTTCCCACTTATTACTATAACCACTGTATTTTTCGGAGTATAAGATGCACCTTTCCCCCCCCTAAAAGGGGGTGAAAATTTAGGTGTGTCTTATACACTGAATGTAATCCCGCCCACCCACTGGCCCCCACCCTTTGGCCTCTGCCTCCCAGCAATTTACCTCCTTGCTGCAAGCAGCAAGAAGAAACAGCTTCTTTCAGTTTCAGCACTTCCTAATTAGCACAAGTTGATTGGATCGGCCTCCTAACTCTCAGCTGTTTTGCTCTCAGCTGTTTTGCACGGGCCTCTGCTGCTTGCTGCAAGGAGGTAAATTGCTGGAGCAGATTTTTATTTTCTTGTGCTAATCAAGCTATGCTGAAAACGAAAATGAAAGTAAAGCAGGCTGTTTGCTGTTTGCTGCAACGAGGCAAAATTGCTGGGAGGCAGAGGCAGAGGCAGATTTTTTTTTTCCTCACCAAAAAAGGTACGTGCGTCTTATAGTCCAAAAAATACGGTATGTTGCTTGTATCTTTCAATTAGATTGTTTTTATTTGTTTCCTAGTACAATTTGATAGCTTAGTAACCTTGACTATCACTAAGTGTTGTAACTTTTTGTTCTTGATGAATGTATTTTATTCTCCTTATGTACACTGAGAACATATGCACCCAAGACAAATTCCTTGTGTGTCCAATCACACAATAAAGAATTCTATTCTATTCTATATATATTTCATGTATTGCAGAATAATGTTGCCTTTTTAAGAAAGGGGTTTTAATGTAGTCTAAAGCTGATGTTCCTTTTTGTATCGCTTGAGTATTCACCCTTGCATCTTGTGCTCTCTGTTTCTCTTTCATGCAAGCGAGTCCATCAGCCGTGAGTCAATCAACCGATCTTCCCATTGATGCAATACCTGATGAAACAAGCTCAGAAGCTCCAATTACAGAGACATCTGCTTCTGGTTGGACTTCCGGAGCCCCAGAGATAACTGGAACGGTCGAACCTAGTGAAACACCTTCAGGATTTGGAGAATTTCCCTCTGGAGTCCCTGAAATAAGTGGGCTGCCTTCTGGAGAAAGTGGGCTACCATCAGGAGACATCAGTGGCCTACCTTCTGGGGTTATTGAAGTCAGCACCTTACCTTCTGGAGAAGAAGAATTATCAGGGATTAGTTCAGAAACCCAAGAAGAAATACCTGGGCTCCAGGAAGGCAAAGGGACCCCAGAATTTAGTGGGTTGCCTTCTGGATTTAGTGGAGGCCATTCTGGTATTGATCCCAGTGGCTCACCATCTGGAGAGTATGATTATAGTGGTCTCACATCTGGATTTCCTACTGTGTCTCTGGTGAATGCCACTTTGACGGAAGTTGTGACCACAGCAACAGAAAGGGAAATGGAAGGGAAAGGGACAATTGGAATCAGTGGAGATGGAGATGTATCAGGTTTCCCCTCTGCCGACTGGGGTGTAAGTGGCGTAACCAGTGGATTGCCCTCCGGAGTTGATGTCTATGGAACCAGTGATATCAGTGGGTTTTCTTCAGGAACTGGTATCAGTGGGAATCTATCTAGCACGTCTGATATCGGTGAATTACCATCAGGACTTGATGTTAGTGGACAGTCATCTGGTTTATTAGATATCAGTGGATTGTCCTCAGGAATTGACTTCAGTGGAACCTCTGTTGGGACACCTGATTTAAGTGGTGATGTCGAATTAAGTGGCCAACCTTCAGGTATTGATGGGAGTGGTGAACCTTCAGGTGTTACCTTCATTGATACCAAATTATTTGAAGTGACAACTCCTTCATCTAAAGAAGAAGAAGGGAAAGGATTTGTAGAAGTAAGTGAATTACCTTCAGGAGATGAAGATCTATCAGGCACTACACCAGGAATTTTAGATGTGAGTGGCCAGCCTTCTTCTGGACAAGTAGACTTCAGTGGGTGGGCTTCAGGAGTTAGTGAAGTCAGTGGGCTTCCTAGTGGACTAACAGACATTAGTGGAGAAAGCTCCGGCATTGATCTCGTCAGCAGCACTTCATCTGGAACATATGATTATAGTGGTCTCACATCAGGGTTTCCTACAGTTTCCCTTGTGGATACAACTTTGGTGGAAGCCGTAACACAGCCATCTGTTGCACAAGAATTAGGAGAAGGGACATCTGGGATATTAGAAGTAAGTGGGCTTCCTTCAGGACAGGAGGAAACATCTGGAGCATTGTATGATGTGACAACATCTAGCGGAGCATCATCTGAGAAAGTTGACTTCAGCGGGACTCCCTCAGGCACTCCATATTTTGCTAGAGAAACTGATGATCTCACTGATGTAAGTGGAGCATCTTCAACCACAGCCAGTGCTAGTGGTGATGTCTCTGGATTCCCAGAAATTATCTTAGTAACTGATTCCGTAGAAACAGTGACAAGACCAACAGTTTCAGAGCAACTGATTGGAGGAACCGAGTCTTTCCATTTTCATGAACCAAGTGTGGAAGCCTCTGCATCTGGGGCAGAAGTTTCTACATATCCTGAAAGTACCATGTCATCCCCAGAATATCATGAAATCAGTAGTAAGGCCTTCACGTTTCATGAAACTAGTGTAGAAACCCCTTTGTTTAATGAAACAACTGACGAAACATCAGTCTCATCAAAAAGCCACCTAGAAACTTCAACCCATTATGAACCAAGTGGAGAAACGTCTTCATTATCTGAAAGTTACTCAGAAACATCTGGGACACCATTCATCAGTGGCTTACCCTCTGGGACTTTTGATGAAAGGACTCAGTTTAATGGAGACAGTTCAGGTCCAGCACCTGAGGCAGTGTCAGATACATCAGAGAAAGGCTTTTCGTCAGATGTCCTACTTAGAACCAGCAGTCCATATGTTGCATTAACTGAACATTCAAGGCTTCTAACAGAGACTCAGGCTGAAACAGAGACCAGTACATATCCAACACCAGAGCTGGAAACAAGAGATGGTGCTGCTCCAGGGATTCCACCACCATCACCAACAGCTACTGATCTCCTTCCTACAGTTTCATCGGAGATGACCGATGGGATACAGCTTATGACACAAGGTAAATTCAGAAATGCATGTATGCAATGGAACTTCCAATAGAGAGTATGCTAAATTTTCACCCTTGTTGATCTTTCTCTTATTTCTCCCATGACATAGCTGTTGTGACCCAGGCCCAAGTAAGTAGTAGGAAAATCAGTCAGTGAAAAAACAAACTTTATTCGAACAGCTGAGAATTACTTCATTCCCAGCGTCTTTCAACTAAATTAAAACAAATTCCTCCCAACCCAAATTCCTCAGTCCTATCGCAAAGCCACAGCTGGGAGGTAAAAGAAGTTAGAACATTGTAATGTCAGAGGGACTCATAAATTCTATAGCTTTCCAAATAAGAGGGAGCAAATATATATATATAACTGTATATCTGTCCCTTATACCAGTTGATTTGTTTTTTTAAAAAAATGGTTTTACCTATCTAGGAAATAAAATGCTCAATTCTCTCTAAAGTATTGATGAAAAACCCCGAAGTTCTTTTTTTTTTTTTTTTGCTTTAATTTATATGCCGCCCTTCTCCGGAGACTCAGGGCGTCTTACAATGCGTTAAGCAATAGCCTTCATCCTTTTGTATATTTATACAAAGTCAGCTTATTGCCCCCACAATCTGGGTCCTCATTTCACCTACCTTTGAAAGGATGGAAGGCTGAGTCAACCTTGAGCCTGGCGAGATTTGAACTTGCAGTAATTGCAAGCAGCAGATGTTAATAACAGTGCTTTAGTCTACTGTATTACAGCTCTCTTTGAACCCTACTACAGCGTACACTCAGAAAGGACTTGCATATCGACTAATAAAAGCACATAGTTATAAAATTAAATTGGTCTCACCAAAAACCATGAACTATTATTTCCATATGATCTCACATGTGGTAAGTGTACAAAGTTCATAGCAGTGGTGAAATCCAAATTTTTTTGCTACCAGTTCTGTGGGCATGCTTGGTGGGTGTGGTGTGGCTTGGTGGGTGTGGCAGGGGAAGGATACTGCAAAATCCCCATTCCCATCCCACTCTGGGGCCAGTCAGAGGTGGTATTTGCCAGTTCTGTGAACTACTCAAAATGTCTGCTACCAGTTCTCCACAAACTACTCAAAATTTCCGCTACCAGTTCTGCAGAACCTGTCAGAACCTGCTGGATTTTATCCCTGGTTCATAGGCATTGAAAGAGTTTTCTGCCCAAAGCTTTGGACCAAATATAATCCTTAATTTACTTTTACAATCCTTAAAGCCCACAGGGGCGACAGGAGTGAGTGAAGTAGAGTTCACAGGTGTGGACAAACAATTTTGCCTTACTAGGGAAAGGAAGTTTCTTTCAGGATTGTGCTAAGATGCCAGTGGTTTTATTTCATCCACACTGGAACTGAACCCTTATTTGGGGACAAGAAAGTCTCATAAAAAAGGAGCTCATCTTTAAAAGTAACTTTGAGTTTGATGACCCTGGAGAATTATTAAAGATAAAATGTTTTTGATTGCAGCTACACCTAAGACTTGTGAAGAGAAACTATGTGGAACTGGGACCTGCCATGAACATGAAGGAAACATCACCTGTTTATGCCCAACTGGATTTATGGGTGATTACTGTGAGATAGGTGAGTCTTGATTTCTTCTTAATGATGATGATGTTGTGTCTGACTCTTGATGATTCTATGGGCCAGGTGTGTACACGTCTTCCAAAGAACAGTTTCTCTGTTCTTTGGCAGCCTGGCTTTCTTTCACTGCTAACTCTTCCAAACATGCAGTAGTGGCCAAAATTGTGGAAACCTTTTGGGAAAAGTGTAGTTTTGAGGTTTGATGGCTAATAACACCATTTTTGGGGGGGGGAGTTTCAAGATAATCCTATTCCACTGCTGGGAAGGCCTAGGAATAGCCCAGACCTTAACTCAATTGAAAACCTATGGAGCTGGCTAAAGAAACTTGTTAGTCAGAAGCGACCCAGCAATAAAACCCAGTTAATAGAAGCCATCCTTCAATCTTGGTTTCACATGATAACAGCTGCAGAACTCAAAGACTTGGTTCACTCCATGGGAAGACGTTGTAAGGCCGTCATTCATGCTAAAGGTTACCCAACTAAGCATTAACTGACATGGTGATAATTTTTGTATATCTCATTTTTTCTATGTGTTTCACTTTTCTTCTTTATACTGTAACTGCTATTCTAATAGCAAATCCTTCATAAAAGTTATTGCATTACATTCTTGATTAAATTATCTTTCCATTGATATATAATTTTATGGTACTACTCCCAAAAAAAGTTGTGTTATTAGCTTTGTTGTTGTTGTTGTTGTTGTCAGTTGTAAAGTCATATCTGACCCATCATGACCCCATGGACAACGTTCCTCCAGGCCTTTCTGTTCTCTACCATCCTCTGGAGTCCATTTAAGCTCACGCCTACTGCTTCAGTGACTCCATTCTCTATCGTCCCCTTCTTCTTTTGCCCTCAATCGTTCCCAGCATTAGGCTCTTCTCCAGGGAGTCCTTCCTTCTCATTAGGTGGCCAAAGTATTTGAGTTTCATCCTCAGGATCTGTCCTTCTAAAGAGCAGTCAGGGTTGATCTCCTCTAGGACTGACCGGATTGATTGTCTTGCAGTCCAAGGGACTCGCAGGAGTCTTCTCCAGCACTAGAGTTCAAAGGCCTCAATTCTTTGGCGCTCAGCCTTCCTTATGGTCCAACTTTCACAGCCATACATTGCAACTGGGAACACCATAGACTTGACTATACACACTTTTGTTGGCAAGGTGATGTCTCTGCTTTTTAGTATGCTGTCTAGATTTGCCATAGCTTTCCTCCCCAGGAGCAAGCGTCTTTTAATTTCTTGGTTGCAGTTCCCATCTGCGGTGATCTTGGAGCCCAGGAAAATAAAATCTGTCACTACCTCCATTTCTTCCCCATTTATTTGCCAAGAATTGAGAGGATGCCATGATTTTAGTTTTCTTAATGTTGAGTTTCAAGCCAACTTTTGCACTCTTCTTTTTCACCCGCGTCAAGAGGCTCTTTAGCTCCTCTTCACTTTCTGCCATTAGAGTGGTATCATCTGCATACCTGAGGTTGTTGATATTTCTCCCAGCAATCTTAATTCCAACTTTTGATTCATCTAGCCCCGCCTTTCTCATGATATGCTCTGCATATAAATTAAATAGACAGGGTGACACTATACAGACTTGCCGGACTCCTTTCCAAATTTTGAACCAGTCAGTGGTTCCATGTCCAGTTGTAACTGTTGCTTCTTGACCCGCATATAGGTTTCTCAAGAGACAAATAACATGGTCTGGTACTCCCATCTCTTTAAGAACTTGCCACAATTTGTTGTGATCCACACAATCAAAGGCTTTAGCATAGTCAATGAAGCAGAAGTAGATGTTTTTCTGGAATTCCCTAGCTTTCTCCATGATTCAGATTCCATGTTGGCAATTTGATCTCTAGTTCCTCTGCCTCTTTGAAATCCTGCCTGTACTTCTGGTTATTAGCTAGTTTTAGAAAATACACTTTTCTGAAAAGGTTTCCACAATTTTGGCCACTACTGTAAGTCCATTGTTTTCTTCTTCTTATCTCAAAGTTCATTGTTAACCACTGAGATGCAAAGTGGCTAAAAACATTAATCATGACAGGTCAGCTTTCCGAAAGCATGTTTGAATTCCAAGTATTGAACTGCTCTCAATTCCATTATATCTAGAACTCTTCCAATGAAGAGCTCTGTCAGAAGGAGTAAATAGCAGCAGAATTACAACCCCAGAATGCTGGATCTGCCTTTCTTACTGAACAATTGGAAAACTCTTGTCAATAGTAGGAATTTGAAAATAAGGTGGCAGGTTGGAGGTCAGGATTAACTTTCATCTCAACTGCTATACTTTCAACTTTCATCTTCGCTCCTCCACACTCGTCTTGTTGCAACATAAGAGGAAAGCAGAATAGTAAATTTAAGGAAAGAATTGGGGAGAAGAAGGCAGAAACAGCAGAATGGGACAACTCGCCCGGACAACTCGCCGCAGGGCAATTCAATTTAATGATTTAAAATAAATAAAACATTATTTTAATTTTTGTCATTCACATTTCACTCTCTCCCTCCTTTTGAATCCTTTCTTTAATGATTCTATCCTACCATTTCTTTGATATTAGTGTAACAGCCATGGTGGCACTGTGATTAGAATGCAGTTTTGCAGGCTACTTCTGCTGACTGCCAGCTGCCAGCACTTTGGCAGTTTGAATCTCACCAGCTCAAGGTTGACTCAGCCTTCCATCCTTCCGAGGTGGGTAAAATGAGATTGTTGGGGGCAATAGGCTGACTCTATAAAGTGCTTAGAGAGGGCTGTAAAGCACTATGAAGCACTGTGAAGCGGTATATAAGTCTAACTGCTATTGCTATTTCTAACCTTCAGCAAGTTGTCCCATGATGAATTGGCCATGGCAAGTTGGCCATGACAAGTCAGCTGTGGCAAGTTAGCCATGGTGAGTTGGCTTGGCAGCTTGGCTGCAGCAAATTGTCATAGATCCAGAAAAAAAACATGAGGACAAGAATGTACTAATCTAGTACAAGGAGTAAGGGTTGATCCAGAAATAGCCAGGCAACCAACATAACAAATGAAGGATAACAGGTTGGTAGGAAGAATAACATTTCAAGTCTAACCTTGATATATTGCAAATCTAGGATGTGGTGTGATTGGAAGAGTAAGTGGGGAGATATTTGCTAATTTCAAGTCTTGTTTTGCAATTAGTTGATTCATTTTGTGTTTCTGGGTCAGGTTTCACAAAAACCATGGGCCAATTTATGGAAGTCATGGGTATTAGTTTTGAAGGCAGAATGGCTGACTCTGAATGCCATCTTGGCTTTCTTGTATGTTGGTTGGTACTCTGAGGGCTGCTGAGACTAGTTGAGTAAGGGATCCAATCCAGCTGGGCACTGCTTAGGAAACTATAAAGATAATAACATTTTTGTCTGTTGGTTGGTAACGTACTTTGTTGAATGCCACTCTGGTGGATCACTTTTTTTGAAATTTCCTACTCTCGGTTTCTGTTTTTGTTGATTTGAAGAAAATACATGAGCCATGGCTAGGAAGGTATATGATAGATATTGTGTTTTGCAGATTAAAAATAAAAAGTGGGGGGGTCTACTTCTGACAGCATAGTCCACATACTAAAAATTGATGCCTGAGCTCTTCCGCCCATATGCTGTTGTACATTGTTCTGCACTGTTTGCTAAATACTTATTATCAGAATTTGTTATTTTTTTAAAAAAAAAAGTACATTGCAAGCCACAGAATCCCAAGTCACATATAAAAATATGTGAAATTAATCGATAATCCGTCACCTCTGCAGTCTTGGGCAAAGGCACAAATTGTCTAGAATTTTCCTTATTAGATATTATTCCCAAACTTAGATGGGTTTCAGATATGTGGATATCACATATACACACACTCAGAATTCCATAGGCGTTGTTGATAATTCTGGGAAATAAGATGACATATCTGGAGGCTGACAGGTTGGAAACATCCATTTTTGGTGATGATTTTTCCCAGGAAACAAAATTGCAGCCTCCAATATCCATGGATGTGTCTCAGGGAAGCAGAATTTGTAGAAGGGAAATGGCACAGCCAACTGCTAAAGAAAGCAAAACCTTGTACCGCATTCAAAATTCAAACCTTAGATACCAGAACAGAAATGTCAAGACAGGCCAGAATCGTAGTCAAGAATATTTTTATTTTATTTTATTATTTTATTAGATTTATATACCGCCCTACTCCCGCAGGACTCAGGGCGGTGAACAGCCAGATAAAACACATTAATTACAAAATTTAAAAACAGTATAAAATCTGATTAAATAATTTGGCCCATGACAATTTAAACAACCCTAATGTTTTTAAGACAAATTTAAAATTCATCATTTGAATTTAAAAGGGAAAAGAAAAAGTTACACCAGGCCAGCCTGTTGAAATAGGAAAGTCTTGAGAGCGCGGCGAAAGGTGCGTAGATCCAGGATCCTCCGTATCTCCAGGGGGAGCTCGTTCCAGATAGCAGATGCTCCCACAGAGAAGGCTCTCCCCCTGGGGGTCGCCAGTCAACACTGTTTGGCTGACGGCACCTGGAGGAGCCCCTCTCTATGACAGTGTACTGGCCGGTGGGAGGCTATTGGTGGCAGCAGACGGTCCCGTAAATAACCAGGTCCTAAACCATGGAACACTCTAAAGGTGATGACCAAATATCAAGTGGAAATTGTTTTCAGCACCCTGGACAGGTCATTACGAGTAATGACTAGTATCAATGCAGCAACAAAACTGCTGTAGAACTTCTAGTCCTGATTATTTCCTGCCCTAGACTTTCCATAATGGAAACATGGTCCCTACCTTGTGCCTCGCCAGCATTCATGAATCTGAAAATATAGATATATACATTTATTATTCTTTGCTGCAAAACATTTTTCTTATCTAGGTCACCATCTTTGTACATTTGCAGCAAATGCTAATCTTTTTTTTTTTTTAGCCCTACTGCAGAGATAATTTCTAGATTATCAGTATTTCAGGATCAACATTTCTAAAGCTTTTCGCTCCCTCAGAAACTGAAGGACAAATCTTTCAAGGATAAAGGTACAGTTTTATGAACAAACATAAACAAGAGCCAATTCCATTTGATAGCCTTGAATATTTTCTTCTTACAATTAAAATTGTTTCCATGCATGTTGGTTTTGTTTTCTTGAGCTAAGAAAACACCATTAGGCAACTTTTACTATCTTTTTCATCAATCAGTAAAGCAGCAGGAAAGTACACTTCTAATGGACTCCAGTTTTCAGACTCACGAAATACCGACCTGACTACAATCTGTCTTAATATTTTGAAGGCAATTCTGATTTGCTTGTATGAAATTCTCAGTCAACAGGTAGTTTCATTGGTGCCTAAGAGGCAAATTTAGCTCTCTCTTAGATGGGCAGTCATCAATGACCATTCACTCAGCCCAGCTCTCCTGTCATTGGGCTGGTCACAAGTTAACAGTTGAGTCTTTTCAGGAACTGTGTTGGGGAGCTTCAGCTATTAGTCCTAATCCTGCTTGAGCAGAAGATGATTTAAGATGCATTATGCATCTTTGGGTTAAATGCATTTAGAATAGAGTAGAGTAGAGTAGAGTAAGAGTAGAGTAAGGGTAGGGTAGGGTAGGGTAGGGTAGGGTAGGGTAAAATAGAATAGAGTAGAGTAGAGTAGAGTAGAGTAGAGTAGAGTAGAGTAGAGTAGAATAGAATAGAATAGAATAGAATAGAATAGAATAGAATAGAATAGAATAGAATAGAATAGAATAGAATTCTTTATTGGCCTTATATGATTGGATATACAAGGAATTTGTCCCTGGTGCATAAGCTCTTATGAGTTTTCTTATTGATTTTTTTTTATTTTATGAGATGATTGAATTTTCTTTGATCCTTCAATGAACCAAGCATAAGAAAGTGGCCATTCTCCACATTTTTCTTACATTTACTAATTAAGGATATCCTACTCTTCCCATAATTTGGAGTAATTGAATTCCATCTGGGCTTGACTGTCATTCTGGTAGTCACTGAAACATTATGGTAGCCAGGGATTTGCCAAGCTTTTTTTTTTTTTTTCCTTTTTCCTATGGTTGGGAAATTCTTCCCTTCCATTTCTCACACATTTTCTTCCACTTCGCTGGGTGCAGTTTCACTTAACCCAGGGGTCTACAACCTTAAACACTCAAAGAGCCATTTGGACCTGTTTCCCACAGAAAAGAAAACACTGGGAGCCACAAAACCCTTCCCATGCCTGACTATTTCTTGAGCAGCCACAAAGCTAACATATGTAGTTGAATTAAACTACATTACTCTGTTTTCTTCTGAAACTTTTCTTGCATTTATTCATGGTTGGCCTTCTGGGAGTCGAAAAGCTCAATAAATTGCGTGCAGGCGGGTGTCGCACATTGGCAGTTGTGATGCATATTTTGAGTGACAGGGAGCTGCAGCAGAGGGGTAAAAGAGCCACATGCGGCTCCAGAGCCACAGGTTGCTGACCTGAGACTTAGGCCCAGTCTTCAAATGGGTCTCTACGAATATTTTCATTCACTGCCTCCTTCTATATTCTGGTTAAATCAAGAAAACCGAATCTCCTGTGGTGGACTTTCTGCCCAGCCAAAGTCCTAATGGCAGCCCTTGATTTCTTCCAGACATTGATGAGTGCCACTCCAACCCCTGTCTGAATGGAGCTACCTGTGTCGATGGCATCCACACTTTCACATGCTTATGCCTTCCCAGCTACGGAGGGAACCGCTGTGACATTGGTATGGCCTGCTACCTTACCCAGCTTCAGCTAACTCTACTAACTGTATATCCCTTCTTTTTTTTTTTCTGGGGGGTTTGGGGGAAAAAAAGACAATCTAACACACATACACCCAGTACTATTGTATTGCACCCTTTTCTCATCTCATCCAATTAACTCCTAAAATATCTGTTGCTGTGGGTAGGGGGTGGGGCGAAAACTTATTTTCTCTTACAGCAGTAGCTCTTAGACTTACATACTGCCCCATAGTGCTTAACAGCACTCTTTGGGTGGTTTACAATGTCAGCATATTGCCCCCAATGAGCTGAGTCCTCATTTTACCAACCTCGGAAGGATGGAAGGCTGAATTAACCTTAGACCGGTCAAGATCGAACTCCTGGCTGTGAGCAGAGTTAGCCTGCAACCACTGCATCACCAGGGCTCTTATCATGATCTATCATGAGCCGTGGTAGCACAGTGGTTAGAATCAGGGGTGAAATCCAGCAGGTTCTGACAGGTTCTGGAGAACCGGTAGCGGAAATTTTGAGCAGTCCAGAGAACCAGTAACGGAAATTTTGAATAGTTCGGAGAACTGACAAATACCACCTCGGGCTGGCCCCAGGGTGGAGTGGGAATGGAGATTTTGCAATATCCTTCCCCTGGAGTGGGGAGGGAATGGAGATTTTGCAGTATCCTTCCCCTGCCACGCCCACCAAGCCACACCATGCCCACCAAGCCATGCCCACAGAACCGGTAGTAAAAAAAAAATTGGATTTCACCACTGGTTAGAATGCAGTACTGCAGGCTACTTCTGCAGACTACCTGCTGCCAGCAATTCAGCAGTTCGATTCTCACTGACTCAAGGCCTTCCATCCTTCCGAGGTCGGTAAAATGAGGATCCAGATTGTTGAGGGCAATATGCTGAGTCTGCAAACAGCTTAGAGAGGACTGTAAAGCACTGTGAAGTGGTTTATATGTCTTAAGTGTTACTGCTATCTACCATTGACTTCAGTCAAACACATAAAGGCTTGGAAGTTAAATAGAGTCTGGCCTGGTTAAGCCACTCATGGGAAACCATCTGGAAATGTTGAAAGTTCTTCTAAGCTCATACAAAGGGAACACCTATAGTTTCTATAGGGAATTTTCCAATCCCTTCACTAGTATAGGCCATAGAGAAGATCTGTATTTTCTTCTGTGTAATGAACGAGCATCTCGTGTTTGCGTGCACTTTCTCTCCAGGGCATAATTGGAATATGTATTAGGTGCCTGGTGGCTCAGCAGACTGATAGCATTGTGATTAACACCAGCTGTCTGCAATTACTGTAAGTTCGAATCTCACCAGGCTCAAGGTTGACTCAGCCTTCCATCCTTTCTAAGGTAGGTAAATTGAGGACCCAGTTTGTGGGGGCAATAAGCTGACTTTGTATAAATATACAAAAGTATGAAGGCTATTGCTTAACGTATTGTAAGCCACCCTGAGTCTCCAGAGAAGGGCGGCATATAAATCAATTTTTTTAAAAAAAATTGTTATAAAAGAAGATTCTAATCAGGTGGAGGTATACATGTCGCTTCTGTTTGTGTGCCATGGGTCTGTTCTGGCCCAATTCCCCAAACACGACAAACCCTCTGTAATCAACCAACAATTCCTTTATTAGGAGCGCCAGCAGCCCCAGCAAAAAGTCTCTCTCTCACACACACAGCAGGCTAACAAGTCTGTCCGGCAGGGAGATGAATAGTTGTCTGCCAAATCTATTCATCTCCGCCCCCTGCCTTATATATATATAATTTTTATTAATATATTCTATACACCAATACACAAATAAAATATACAATCCTGCCACCATGGTATAATATGATTACATTGTCCATAAGTATAAAGTCATTCCTTTATACATACATATTTGCCATCATATATATACATCATCATATATCTATTCTATCCCACCTTTTCTGGACCCAATCGTACCATACTTTCCAACTGTTATAAAATTCAGAATCTTTTTTACCATTGATCAATCTAGTTAATCTATCTGATTCCGCACACTCATTAATTTTATATATTGTTTTCAAATCTATCGTTAAGTATTGATTTTTCCGCTCCTGCGCATACGCTAATCTTGCTGTTGATGTGAATCAACAAGAACCATATATCTGATTTAACATTCAAAGGTTTTGCCCCCAATAGGAAAATCTCAGGTCTTAATTCCAAATTAATCTGTGTAATTTCCAAAATCCATTGCCGTATTCCGCCCCCTGCCTTTTATCCCCAGAGCTAGGGTGGGCCTTCTCTAGCAGCGGTGGCTCTTCCGTCCCAAGGATCAGCCCATAGATTTCCACTGCTCTCCTCTCCTCTGCCTTCTGCGCATCCGCACATCAGGCACTGGACCCAGCTGTTCCTCCTCTTCCTCATCAGCCACCTCCAGACCTGGCAGCTGTTGACTCTCCATCTGACGGACGGCCCAGGCTCCGCCTCTGTCTCTCTCTCTCTCTCTGACCGGTCCATTCCCTCTTCTCCCTCAGAGCTCTCAGGTTGCCTTGATGCTGATCCTGACTCCCACGCCGCCTCCTCATCTCATTCAGCTGCTGAAGGAGCCAGTGGCCAACAGGTCACAACAGGGTCTAATTGGGGCGCAGGCATGAGTTTGGGTTTCTATGGCTGTTCTCACAGGCAGGGCAGGCTGCATGCCATCTGCTTTGAATCATCTGACTGGAATGACTGGGATTTAGGATGAAAGAGGAGTTGGGAGCTTTCCGAGCCTCCGGCCTACCATCTTTCCTATGGGGAAGGAGTGGGAGAGTCTGAAAATTGTTCTTTTTTTTTTTTTTCCCACAGCCCTCAACCTCATTCTGCTTACTTCTAATTTTTTTTTTTTTTTAATTTGATTTATACGCCGCCCTTCTCCGGAGACTCAGGGCGGTTTACAATGTGCTAAGCAATAGCCTTCATCCTTTTGTATATTTATACAAAGTCAGCTTATTGCCCCCACAAACTGGGTCCTCATTTCACCTACCTTAGAAAGGATGGAAGGCTGAGTCAACCTTGAGCCTTGGAGAGATTCGAACCAGCAGTAAATTGCAGGCAGCTGTGTTAATAACAGGGTGCGTAGACCACTGTACCATCAAGGCAAATTAGATCTTTCTTTTGCCAGCTTCTTCTCCCCATAACGGATTCTGTTTTCCAAGTTATCCCGCTGCAGATGGACAGAGTCCCAGACCTGTTCCACAATTCTTTTCATCATCACAGACTAATACACCATTTCTACATTATTGCCAATTAATAAATAACAGGGATGTGTTTGTGAAATCGTGAGGAACGCAGCTTCACTTAGGGCAATTTTTACCATTTGATGCAGCTAGCCCTCACTTAGCAACCACTTCGTCAGGGCGCTTTCACTGTTAAGAAGAATTCTTACAATTGGCCCTCAAGGTGTAGATATCGCAGCATGTCACGTGATTATGTCACGTGATTATGATTCAGTCACGTGATTGCCATTCGTGACCTGCATAGCTGGCTTCCAACAAGCAATAGCATTAGCAATAGCACTTAGACTTATATACCGCTTCACAGTGCTTTCCAGCCCTCTCTAAGCGGTTTACAGAGTCAGCGTATTGTTCCCAACAATCTGGCTCCTCATTTTACCAACCTCGGAAGGATGGAAGGCTGAGTCAACCTTGAGCCGGTCAGGATCAAACTGCTGGCAGTAGGCAGAGTTCACCTGCAATAGCAATAGCACTTAGCACTTATATACTACTTCACAGTGCTTTACAGCCTTTCTAAGCAGTTTACAGAGTCAGCATCTTGCCTCCAACAATCTGGGTCCTCATTTTACTGACCTCAGAAGGATGGAAGGCTGAGTCAATCTTGAGCCGGTCAGGATCAAACTGCTGGCAGTAGGCAGAGTTCGCCTGCAATAGCAATAGCACTTAGACTTATATACTGCATCATAGTGTTTTACATAGCGATAACAATAGCAATAGAGTGGTTTACAGAGTCAGCCTATTGCCCACAACAATCTGGGTCTTCATTTTACTGATCTCAGAAAGATGGAAGGCTGAGTCAACTTTGAACCAGTGAGGATCGAGCTCCTGGCTGTGGGCAGAGTTAAGCTGCAATACTGCATTCTAACCACTGTGCCACCAGGGCTAAAATAAAGTCAGTGGGGAAACCAGTTCCAAGTTGCAGTTAAAAAGAGCCTTGGTGGCACAGCAGACTAGAAGCACTGTTAAGTAGCACCAGCTGCCTGCAATTACTGCGAGTTCAAATCTCACCAGGCTCAAGGTTGACTCAGCCTTCCATCCTTTCGAGGTAGGTAAAATGAGGACCCGGTTTGTGGGGGCAATAAGCTGACTTTGTATAAAAAAAGCACCGCTGGGGGAGGGGGGGGCAAAAGCCCTACTAAGCAGGTATATACAAAAGTATGAAGGATATTGCTTAACGCATTGTAAGCCGCCCTGAGTCTCCGGAGAAGGGCGGCATATAAATCGAACCAATAAATAAATAAATGTGACTTAACAAGTGCATTGCGTAGTGACAGAGTTCCCAGTCACAATTGCAGGTGGTAGGTGAGAACTCCTTGCACACTTTGAGCTAGAGGTCCTCCAACTTTAGAACCGATGGCCACAGTTGAAATAAGCCCAACTACAAAATAGCAAGCATATACAACAGGGGTGTCCAATCTTGGCAGCTTTAAGAGCTTGTGGACTTCAAGAATTCCATAGCCAACCACGCAGGCTGGGGAATTCTGGGAGTTGAAGTCCACAGGTCTTAAAGTTGCCAAGGTTGGCCAGTCGTGATATATAGGATGTTCCCAAAATGGCTGCATCCATTTTGTGGACGGAGAGCAGTGGTGGGTTTCAAAAAAATTTTTTACTACCGGTTCTGTGGGTGTGGCTTGGTGGGCGTGGCAGGGGAAGGATACTGTAAAATCTCCATTCCCACCCCACTCCGGGGGAAGGATACTGTAAAATCTCCATTCCCACCCCACTCCGGGGGAAGGATACTGCAAAATCCCCATTTCCTCCCGATCAGCTGGGACTTGGGAGGCAGAGAATAGATGGGGGCGGGGCCAGTCAGAATTTTTACTACCGGTTCTCCGAACTACTCAAAATTTCCGCTACCGGTTCTCCAGAACTGGTCAGAACCTGCTGAAACCCACCTCTGACGGAGAGGCACATTTTCAAACATAGCAATGGGGTGCCACTATCCACTATGTTTGTTTTCTAAGAATGTCTATGTGGCCCAGGACGCCAATAACCTCTGTTTAAAAAATAAACCTGCCCTTCCCGTTTCTTATTTAATTCAAAGGTTTGTTTAAAAAGTTTAAAGGCCGATAGGCTAGGGAACCTGGCGGAGAACAAGGGAGATGTTTGTTATCACACTGTCATCCCAAAGCTGTCCCCGTTTTAGTGTTTTGTGTGTGTGTGTGTGTGTGTGTGTGTCTGACGCTCTAAGATACTTGATTATTTGCATTACCGTTTTTCGTAAGCAAAGAAAACCTTTTAGCTAAATCTATAGGCGACTCTCCCACAGCCTCAATTACGACTGCCACTTGAAAAATCATATCCTTTGTTAGAGGCAATTTTCCCTGGAAAATATGCATTTTATTCAAGTGCTTCTTCTTTTTGGTACTCTTCGTTCCCCAAGTATCTATTTCCGGATGCATACCTTGATCACAGCTGTACGGAGGAACTTGAAAGTTGTGAGAGAAAAACAGAAAGATAATTGCTTTCCACTTTGTCTTGCAAAATAGAATGGTTTGTATTCAAATGCAAGCCACAACAATGTATGGATGCTTCAGTGCGTGCTCGGCTAACAGGTTGTGGAAGCCTCCTTACCAGAGGTGGGTTTCAGCAGGTTCTGAACAGTTCTGGAGAACCAGTAGTGGAAATTTTGAGTAGTTCGGTAGTAACCGGTAGTAAAAATTCTGACTGGCCCTGCCCCCATCTATTCTCTGCCTCCCAATTCCCAGATGATTGGGAGGAAATGGGGATTTTGCAGTATCCTTCCCCTGGAGTGGGATGGGAATGGAGATTTTATAGTATCCTTCCTCTGGAATGGGGTGGGAATGGAGATTTTACAGTATCCTTCCCCTGGAGTGGGGTGGGAATGGACATTTTACAGTATCCTTCCCCTGCCATGCCCACACAGCCACGCCCACCAAGCCATGCCACACCCACAGAACTGGTAGTATAAATTTTTGAAACTGCTCCCTACAGAAAAAGGAAATCTGAATTATAGGTCGTCCTCAGCTTACGAACACAATGGAGCCCAAAATTTCTGTTGCGAAGGGAGACCGTTGTTAAGGGAGTTTTGCCCCATTTTACGACCGTTCTTAACCGTTGTTAAGTGAATCGCTGCAGTTGTTAAATGAGCAACACGGTTGTTAAGTGACTCTGGCTTCCCCGTTGACTTTGCTTGTCAGAAGGTCGTAAAAGGTGATCAGATGACCCCGGGACATTGCAACCGTCATAAATACGAGTCAGCTGCCAAGGGTTTGCATTTCAATCATGGGGATGCTGCAATGGTTATAAGTGTGGGGAAAGGGTCATCAATCACTTTTTTCCGTGCCGCTGTAACTTTGAATGGTCACTAAATGAAATGTTGTAAGTTGAGGACTACCTGTAGTCAAGCTTTTATTTGCACCATGGTGCAAATAAAATAAGTTGTGAAATAAGTTGTGAAGAGTCAGAGCCCCCCCATAAAAACACCTCTGTGTGTGTCAGATGTACTTAAGATGTATATATTAGGTCCTTCATCGAGTCTATTATGAAAGGGTACTTATTTTTAGAAGTAGAAAACGAGGAGAAGAGAAAACACGTACTTATTCTGTTCTACTTGGCATTAATAATGTTATGATTGTGTTCGTTTTTCGTCTCTCCTTAACAAAAGGTTCCTATTCATTTGTCTCCCTCGCAGAAAATATAGGCTCGTCTCCGAGATGCTTGGAGACAAAAATCAAATATGCTATTGAGATCTCTCCATTTATGGCTTCAGAACAAAATTAGAAGGTTTATTTATTTATTTATTAAAAGCGACCAGAACGCTGTAGAACTCTGTGCCATCCCAAGTGCATAAGTATGGAATCGTATATTTTAGACAGTAGGCATCATCCAGATCAGTGGTGAAATGTAAAATTTGTTACTACCGGTTCTGTGTGCGTGGCTTGGTGGTGGTGGGGGTAATGTGACTGTGTGGGCATGGCCAACTTTTTTTTTTTTTTTTACTTTTAAAACCTTCAGCCGAAGAGGTTGTAAAAAATGCTTTTAAAAGCCTCTGACGATCCCAGCTGAGTTGCCTGATTGTCAGAGGCTTTTTTTTTGTTGTTCTAAAAACATTTTTTCTACAACCTCTTCAGCCAAAGAGGTTGTTAAAAAATGCCTTTAAAAGCCTGACATACATATACAGCATAAAACTCTAGGTGCCCTTTGTGCGTGAGAAAAATGCATTCCACAAGCACATGGAACTGATTTTTAAAATTTCATATTCCCTCTTAAGGAAATTGTATGGATTAATTTCTCCATAACACGTATCAAGTTATACACGACTAAAAAATATCTTGCAGAACAGGGGTGGGTTCTACTTACCTTTACTACCGGTTCGCAAACATACGCAGAAGTGTTCTGATGATATTGAGGTCGGTGGGCGGAGCCTTCCGCTGGTTTTACTACCGGTTTTATAGAACCGGTGCGAACCGGGGGCAACCACTGCTGCAGGATTATATTTTTACTAGCTCATAATCTGAATGTTTCCTTAGATAGAAGCTCTATAGTTTAGATGACTGTAAAACACTTTTTTTCCCACCATTTTGACGGTTCTAATAAACTCTTCAGTACCCTTTACTTTAAGTGGTGACATTCGTTGGCAAGAAATCAATAATTCTTTGTTTTTGGAGAAACAGGTAAGTTTTGCACAACTTCTGAGTCAAGTGCCATCAAATTTGCTACAGAGAGTTTTGGAAGGGGTTAAAAAATGTCACCCTTTGCTTTGATTCTTCTTCATGTGATCTTTGTTGTGTTCGGGTCTAGATCTGGCAGAATGTGAAACAGGCTGGATTAAATTTCAAGGTAACTGCTACAAGCATTTTGAAGAGAAACTCACCTGGATGGAGGCAGAGAAACTATGCCGAAAGCATCAATCCCACCTGAGCAGTATCATCACACCTGAAGAGCAAGAATTTGTGAACAGTAAGTATGGCAACTTGACATGTCTTTAAAAAAAAATAAAAATATCCCCAAACCAATGGACTTTTAGGATTACAACACTGATACAGAATATAGTACTGATTCTGAATTTCACTTACAGGAGAAGGGTTGTCTAGATAGGTTGACTTTTTATGGCTCAGCCTTTAAGTGGTATATTTTAATAGACTGCACCAATGCAACTTTATAATATTATCATGAACTATAGTGCACAAAAGCTGTGTTAAATCCAAAGTTGGCAATATTTCAGTGGACAGAGCCACAGGTTAATCTATTAGCCTTCAAAATACCATTAGAATCCCTAGAAATGTCAAATACATTAGCCCTGATCAAATGGTCCAACTTTATATTCCTTCCTTTTGTGTGCTTCACAATTTTAGCCTTTGTGTTGTGTTCCAGTTGTGTTGCAAGACTTGGTCTTTCATCATTCTTTGATATTCCAAAACATTTTCAGAAGTTTTATCAAACTACTTTGTGAATCCAATAAAGAGGCATTATCCAGGATTCCTCGTTATAACTGCTGCTTGTTCTTTTCTTGATTTATCTCTTGTATTTCCATTTTAGTAATCTTTTCAGTTGTATTCTATTCCAAATTTTCAAATTCTATTTCAAGTAGAAGTTTAATATTTTATTCATGTTCTAATCCACCCAAAGAATTTCAATAAATAATTGGGTGCATTGTAAATGTGCTAAATATATCACCATTCAATTGATATTCAGTAATGATTATGGGACAAGCTAGACTAAACTAGACTATAGATTCTTAAACTGTGATTTGTAAATTGTTGGCAGTCTCTGCTACTTTTCTGGAGGGAGGTGTTTGGGATTTTTTTAATCTAAGTATTGAATGTCCTTTGAATATCCAAGCAACTTGAAATTATATAAATTAATTATTTTATTTACTATGGAAAATTGAAACATATACAACTTGGGTGAGGGATCATAAAGTCATCATTAATAATAAATTTGGGCTTTAGTTTCTTGCATTCGTTTCATCAATTTTTCCCTGGCTTTTTTTCAATCTATTTGAATGTTGCTTATGGAATTCATAATATTTTCGCTTTAGAAATAAAAACTGCAAGGAAATTTGATAGATCACTAAAACAGCCAAAATAGTTGGATGTGTTCATTCTATATTGACTAAGCAGCAAAACATGCATTTCAGGGCTTAATTTTTATTTTATTTTATTTTTAAAAGAATGTCAAAGAAACTTGATAATAAGATGGGAGGCTACGAAATCTCTTATATAAAGGGAATATATAAGCCATAGAAGTCCATTTAAAACTTCACAATTAGTAATTAGATTAGATTTAGAGAAATCAATAACTTCTAAGTCTAACAAGAAACATTTCCAAAATACATGCAATTACAAAAAAGAAAAGAAAATAGCTAGTAGTTTATAATAAACTATGTCAGAAAGATTAAGAATATCTGTATTTGACCTTGCAGCTAATTTTTTTGATAACGTGGTCCTGGTTATTAGGTACTTTAGTACACCTTGTGGCCATATGATACTGTATGAGGATACTGGGGTGTTTTTTTTCCTATTAAAAAAAAAACATACAATTTAAAGAAATCTTTCATTTCATGGTAATGAAAAATGGACCATTTTAGAAAACTATTTGATATGGATGCAATGGTGTACTAGAGCTCTGTAAATCATTCACAATGTAATTTGGATTTTCAAATGGATTCAAAGACCTGACTTGACCTAATTCAGACTTCTGAAATAATTTGGAACAAGTGCTTTTCCACAGATGCAAAAGGTCCCCTGAATTGCCGATTAAGATCCAAATCAATTCAGAGGCATCCAGTTTGAAGCTTCAGACCAATTCATATTCCAATCGACTAATTGCGTTTCTCAAGTGATGGTTTGCATGGACCCAGTGGTGGGCTGTTGGGGGTTCGCAGGGATTCGGGAGAATCTCTAGCTAAGATTCTGTGCAGTTCGGAGAACCCCACTCAAATCCCACTCCTGGCTGGCTCCTCCCATCCCGTCCCGCCCCGCCCAGGAGTCCCCACGCGGCCCATTTTGGATGCAGGTAAGTGCAGGGTGCACGCAGAGGCTCGGGGAGGGTGAAAAATGGGCCTACCAGTAGTGTCCAGCCTCCAGAGGGCCTCTGGAGCCTGGAGAGGCCATTTTCGCCCTCCTGGAGGCTTGAGGAAAGCCTCCGGAGCCAGGGGAGGGCAAAAGCACCCGCCCCACCACACCATGGTGCAGGAGGCTGACCAGGCCACGCCCACCATGGCCACGCCCACCCAGCAACCAGGCAGAGAACCCCTTGCTAAAATTTTTGAAGCCCTTCATGGACCCATGGTTTACAGCTCATAAGAACAGCACCTACCCACCCATCCTGTAAAAGCCAGGATGCATGTAAAATTGAGTCCCTGTTCCCAGTCTGTGGGGCTCATTACTCATCTGTTCAAATTCTTACCAATGCTGAAGTGTAAAATGAAAATCTGGTTTGAACAAACCAAGGTGAATCATGATTGATTTTGCTGGGAGAAAATCAATCTTTTACATGGATCCATGGTAGCATTTTTTAATACTCATAGAAAAAATAAATACGAAGCTATTTTCAGAAAATGAGTAATGACTGAAGTCAGACACAATTAGTATACCACAGTTTTTATCGCTGGGCAAGTCATTGCTCTTTAGGCCTAAGAAGAGGAGGAAGTCATTATTTTAAGAAAGAAATCTTACGTGGTCTTATTTATCCAAGGAGGCTCAGACTATAACACACAATTATCCCCATTTTTTTTTTAATCTCTCCATAGTCCTTGAGGGAGGCTTTCCTGAGAGGTCAACCAATTTAAGCTTGTGAGCTTCTGAAATGAGTTGGAGTTTATTCTGCAGTCGCTGACAGACAAGAAAAGTACTGTAAGCTCAGATCTGGTTAGAAGAAAAATCAAACCAACCCATGTTTAGACTAGAAGAAAGGAAAAGGCCAACTGCTTCTTTAGGGCTACCAACAAAACTCCATGGATGTCTCCAGGAAGGAGATGATCTGAGCTTGAAGAAGTTTCTGACCTCTTCCAAAATTATTCTACCTTGCTTGTTGTTTTGAAAAAATAAATACCGTATTTTTCAGAGTATAAGACACACCTTAGTTTTTGGGGAGGAAAATAAGAAAAAAAGCTGATTGGCGGGTGGATCAGCCTCCTGGAAAACCCCCAATCAGCTGTTTCCAGAGGTGAATTTTAGCAACAGGTTCGTTAGTTGTGAGCTCTGTGTCTTGTTTTTTTTTCAGCCTCTGAAACTTCTGAAAACTTTTTTTTCTGCCTCTGAAAGCCTCCAAAACAGAGCTTCAGGGAAAAAAGCCTCTGAAGCTCTGTTTCTGAGGCTTTTTTTCTGAAAATTCTTTCAGAGGCTTTTTTTTCTGAAGCTCTGTTTCTGAGGCTTTTTTTTTTTTAAGCTCTGTTTCTGAGGCTTTTTTTCTGAAGCTCTGTTTCTGAGGCTTTTTTTTTTAAGCTCTGTTTCTGAGGCTTTTTTTCTGAAGCTTCGTTTCTGAGGCTTTTTTCAGCCTCTCAAAACCTCCTTTTCAGAGGCTGGGCAGGGCTACATTCGGAGTATAAGACACACACAGATTTTCACTCTCTTTTTTGGTGGGGGAAAGGTGCGTCTTATACTCCAAAAAAATATGAAAGTAGAATCCAATTGCATATCATGTTAATTAACATTCAGCTTGACTCTTCTTCCCACCAAAAAAGATTGTGTCTCACTATAAAGGTTTATGGAGATTCTCAGTCATCCAGGTCATGGTTGTCCCAAAGGTGCTTTTTCAAGAGGCAACTGGACTTTTTGGTTTTTCTTTTAAGGCGTTTCGCTTCTCATCCAAGAAGCCAGAGCTGAAGAAGCTTCTTGGATGAGAAGAGAAACGCCTTCAAAGAAAAACCAGAAAGTCCAGTTGCCTCTTGAAAAAGCACCTTTGGGACAATAATAAAGATTGTGATACTTGTGTATCAATAATAATGCCATTCCCATTGCTGCTGATAGAAACAGGTTATCATTAATTACTTTCCAATGGCATGGAAGAATTTTTAAGGGTACGTGAAAACTGAATCAATCCAGTCCTCTATGCAGTATTTTCTAAAACTAAACCAGAATAAATACCTCATTATTACTTACTGAATGAATGAAAGAAACTGTTCCTCATTTAATGTGATCGTTACTTAAGCTAGAGCTGTGCAGTCCTTTAGATTCAAAAGCAAGCATCTCTTGGTAACTCCTTAAACCTTGCATGTCTCTTCCAGGGATCCTTATGCAACTCAAGAGGCAGGTGTGCAGTACTGGGAACTGATGCAGCTGCTTTAAAGAACTGTAGGCAATTTGGGTGTTCTAAAGCACCTTTTTGCATTGAATTCCAAGTGCTCCTTAGTTTAGTTTGAATCTTGCTCCTAGGCTCAAAATCCAGAGACTCATCCTCTGCCTTCAAATAAACCAGCATTCATTGTTAATTTCTCTTTCTCTGTGTGTTATCTAGGCAATGCACAGAACTACCAGTGGGTTGGGTTAAGTGACCGAGCTGTAGAAGATGACTTTCGCTGGTCTGATGGACATTCTCTTGTAAGTTAGACTCTGGAAGATATCAAATATAGAGATATTTCTGGACTATTGGGAAATCAATGTTTCAGAAATCCAAGAATACAACAGGACATCTATTTGGGGAGTGCCAGTTTGAGAAAAGACTACATGGACAGGAGGAAATATGGGAAACACTATGTTTGTAGCATGGATACAAATCACCCTTCTTACTCTAGAAGTATATTAATTACGCAAGACCCCAGATCTTCCTAGAATAACGCAAAGTCTTAGAGACAGCTTCCAGAATCCACCAAATTATGTTTAATGTTACAGTAGGGGAATGATTAAATATGCAGGGAGTAATGTTACTTGTAGTAGGGACGCGGTGGCTCAGTGGCTAAGATGCTGAGCTTGTCAATCAAAAGGTCGGCAATTCAGCGGTTCGAATCCCTAGTGCCGCGTAACAGGGTGAGCTCCCATTACTTGTCCCAGCTTCTGCCAAACTAGCAGTTGGAAAGCATGTAAAAAATGCAAGTAGAAAAATAGGGACCACCTTTGGTGGGAAGGTAATAGCGTTCCGTGCGCCTTTGGCGTTTAGTCATGCCGGCCACATGACCACGGAGACGTCTTCGGACAGCGCTGGCTCTTCGGCTTTGAAATGGAGATGAAATGGAGTCGGAAATGACTAGCACATATGTGCAAGGGGAACCTTTACCTTTGATGTTACTCATGGTATCATTCCATTTTTACTAATATTGAGAGGGCACCCAAATTAAATCAGTATTGATCTTGGCTCCCTCTTTAATCTTAGAAATGCCCCCTTTAGAATATAACCCTCAGAAAGCCCAGATAGTCCACTGTCCAAAAAGAGGTTCGGCATCTCAAAGCAGGATGGATCAGGCATCTTCCTTAATTAAAATGTCTTCCTTCCTCAAAGGTGCTTGTGATCCATAATGGAAAATGAGAGTTTGATGCAAAAACTTCACCCCTACCTAGCAAGCAGGTTATGACCCTCAAATTCCAGCATTATAGAGCAAAACCAACTTTATGGGAAAGCGGCAACTGCTTCTAACTTTTTTTAAAAAAATGGAGAATTGTGAAAGTTCTAATCATGACTTTGTCTCTTTCTTCCCCCCCCCCCTTTCCCCCACTTCATCTGGCTCTCTGTTTGACTCCGGATCTTTTTCTCTCTTTCCTTAGCAATATGAGAACTGGCGACCTAACCAGCCGGATAACTTTTTTGCCAAAGACGAAGACTGTGTGGTCATGATCTGGCATGAGAAGGGTGAATGGAATGATGTGCCATGTAATTACCACCTGCCGTTCACTTGCAAGAAAGGAACAGGTGAGGCTCAACGTCCAGTGCAGAAGGGCTCACACAGCCCAATCAAGCAGTCCAGGGGTGAGTTCTACTTACCTTTACTACCACCTCTCTCTTGCGTGCACACTTCTGCACGTGCACAGAAGCTTCTGCGTATGCGCAGACAGGGGTGAAATGCTCCCGGTTCAGACCGGATCGCCCGATCCGGTAGCGATGGAGGCGGGTGGTTCAGAGAACCAGTAGCAAAAATCCCTGCTCCCCCCCCATGCCCAGCTGAGCCGCACAATCATCAGAGGCTTTTTTTTATTTTATTTTTAAAAGCATTTTTTTCTACAATCTCTTCGGCCGAAAAAAAATGCTTTTAAAAGTTAAAAAAAAAAAAGAGCCTCTGACGATCAGGCAACTCAGCTTGGATCGTCAGAGGCATTTAAAAGGAAAAAAGCCTCTGACGATCAGGCAACTCAGCTGGGATCCTCAGAGCCTTTTGAAAGCATTGTTTTACAACCTCTCCGCCGAAGAGGTTGTAGAAAAAATGGTTTTAAAAGTAAAAAATAAAATAAAATTGGCCACGCCCACCCAGTCACATTACCCCACTACCAAGCCACGCCCACAGAACTGGTAGTAACAAAATATTAGATTTCACCACTGTGCGCAGATCATCAATTATGACAACCGGGCGGGTGGGCGGAGCCTCCCGCCAATTTTACTACCGGTTTTATAGAACTGGACAGAACCGGGAGCGACCCACCACTGAAGCAGTCCAAGATTATGACTGCAAAAGGCTTGCATCTCAGCAGTCAAGATCCTGAGGACAAGTAGGAAGCCACTGTCAGGACTGAGCAATGATTAAGGGCGCTAAGCAGTGAGGCAAGAGTCGAGGAAAGACATGGCAGATCCAAGGACAAGCTGTCCCCGCAGCTGAAAAATGAAATATTGAAAGCTACTGGCCCTGTTCCAAGTGCAACACATGCTAATCATAACCAGTTGTAGAAAACAGGCCACTTGGAAGCCATAATTCACTCTAAGGATATTGCTTACAAGTGCTACATTTATGAGGCTCTTCCGGGTAATTTAACATGTCTTCATTTGAACTTCTCCAGGGTACATGCATTGTTCAGGTACATATTTAAGCCTGCTTACTGCCTTGTGTGTGACATTTGTTCTTCTTTCTGGGATGACAGTTTGAGAAGATCATAATCCATGTCTCCTGGAGTTAATAAAGAAAGGCCATAGCACTTCTCCCAAGCTGTAGTTTCTGGCCCAATGTTTCAATCAGCACCACATAACTGGGTCTGGTCTTTACTTAAATGTCCTACAATGCTTCCATACCACATTGGACTATGACACTATAGGAAATTTAAGCATAACCACTTGCTGCAGTGCTGCTAGTCCTCAGGCAGTTGTTTCCCCAAGTCTGTCTCAAGCCAGTCCTTCACATACCGGTATTATTTGTATTTTTTTTTTTATTTTTTTTTAAATTTGATTTATATGCCACCCTTCTCCGGAGACTCAGGGCGGCTTACATTATAGTATTATAGCAATAGCAATATTATTTGTAATACAAATAATACAAATATCATTTGTAATTTAGCAATAGCACTTAGACTTATATACCGCTTCACAGTGCTTTACAGCCCTACTCTAAGCAGTTTACAGAGTCAGTTTATTGTCCCCAACAATCTGGGTCTTCATTTTACCCACCTCTCAGAGGGAATAAAAGAGGAGCGACAGGGGAGTGGAGTTTGCAGGAGACAATTAGTTCACTTAATTGGTTCGTGACTCTCCAAGACTCCTTGCCAAGTTTTGAAGATATCGGCCTGGCAGCTCTCCAAGCCAGATAAGGTCTGTGACTGTAAATTCTCCCTTGAAAAGACTTTGCTGAAGGTGAATGAGAGGAATTCACTGTTTGTTTAATAAAAGGGGTTTTGTCGGGACCAGGATTCTGCTTTGTGCTTTTTGGGGAAGCCTAGCTCAGAACAGGAGCATCCTGTTGGCCAAGTGCTGCTTTGAGCAGAAAACAATTTGAAAAATGTCCTTTTCTTCCCCCAGTTGCCTGTGGAGACCCTCCCACAGTTGAGAATGCCAGGCACTTTGGCAAGAAGAAAGACCGCTATGAGATCAACGCTATGGTGCGCTACCAGTGCAATCAAGATTACATACAGCGCCATGTGCCCATCATCCGATGCCAATCAAGTGGGCAGTGGGAAGAGCCTCGGATAGCCTGTATAGACCGTACGTAAGGTTTTCTGATGAACTTTCGGCATTTGTACTCTTTCCCTACAACCAATAGAGAGAGGGTAGAGCAGCCCAAATAGAGAGTGGTACAGGTGGCCTAGAGGTGGAGCTCTCGCCTCACAATCAGGAGGCTGTGAGTTCAATCCTACATAGAGGCAGATATTTCGCTCTCTGGGAACACTGTTGAACAAAACTCCTCATTGGTGACAGGAAGGGCATCTGGCCAGTAAACACTCTGCTAGTTCCATTAAGTTGCCCAGACTCCACCCCACAAGGGATTATGAGGTCGTTAAAAGATGATGATGATGATGATGATAGCAGCCCAAATGGAAATTTACAATAATATTTATTCAACCGGATTATATATATATATATATATACATGATGTTATATTGATTAATGTAATTGTCTGGGTATGTCTTAACTTGGTTTATAAACCAAGCTGGCTAGTTCTGACTAAGCTTAGCTAGTATGCAACTATCTATATTAAGTATTTCTGTATTCAAAAAAAGGGGGGCAGGGGTAACGTTTGGGTATTATTTGCCTGGGGGTGACTCAGCGAAGTAGACAACTCGGGAGAAAATCAAGCAGAAGGAGAGATATTGCCTTTCCTCCTGATAGAATTAGAGCTGCAACGAATTCCCTTGCTTCTCTCTACCCTGTTCACACTATTTGTCTGAACCACCTACTCGTTTGAAATGTTCTTTTAATTAGGAGGGAAATCCCTGAAAGACTTTCCACAAATGAGATTTAAACCTGTTTTCAATTAAGACAATGCCTGCGCTGCTACAGAGACGTCCCTTGCGTACCGCGTTACGGTCCTAGCGTTTCTTTTCCTTGTTAGCAAGCGATCGGATGATTCGTTCTAACATTCAGGCTGTTCCACCGAATCTTTCGCTACATGGGGACATGCTCTTGACGGTAGCTTTAACATGACAGAGATTAGGGATTCAAACATGTAGGAAAGTTGGACTGCAGGGGCTGGCTGGTAAACGGAGCCCGGAGTCCTTTAATTAACTAAAGGATTGCCAATAGTTGGCAAGATCTTCTTGGACAACATATGGTCCTCAGCAACTTTCTATAAATCTTGGGTTTCTCAGAATTGTACAAGAACAGAGAGCAAGTAGAGGAACTCGCAAAGGCAGGATGAGTATAAATTAAAGAGGGGTAAAAAGTAATGGCCTCCAAGGGGTTTGGAATTCAACCTTTCAGCCCAGCCAACTGGTCAGTGGTAGGAGAAGATGAAGCTCTCTAGTCTCCCTCCTTATTCTCAATGTCTCCTGGAATTGTCATGTAAGCACATATTGCGCATTGCATGACCATCCCAAAAAAACATCCGAAAAAATGGATGTAGTAGGGAATAAGACTCCGAACTGAAGCAGAAATCGGTTTGCTAACGCATGCAATACGGCATTTGGGAGAAGAACAAAGACAGGGGGTTCCTACCCCACAAGATAAAAGCCCTGATCTTTTGATGCACGGATTTGTTTTGGACAAGCCAAGGGGCAAAGAGGAAAAATGGTCCTAAGCTGCAGGACGTGGTCATTTTCCTCCTCAATTCGTGCAGCTTTTTTTTCCTTTCTTCAAATGTTGCACACTGAGGGGTCAAGATAAGATTGCTGTTCAATGTGTGTGTGACAGTGCATAAGAGCTGAAGGTGGCGCAGTGCAGGCTACTTCAGCTGACTGCTAGCTGCAGTTCAGAAGATCGAATCTCACCAGCTCAAGGTTGACTCAGCCTTCCATCCTTCCGAGGTGGGTCAAATGAGGACCCAGATTGTTGGGGCCCAAAATGCTAACTCTGTAAACCGCTTAGAGGGCTGTAAAGCACTGTGAAGTGCTATGTAAGTCTAAGTGCTATTGCTCTTAGCTATTGCTTATTTGTACCCTATGACTATCATTAAGTGTTGTACCTCATGATTCTTGATAAACGTATCTTTTCTTTTATGTACACTGAGAGCATATGCACCAAGACAAATTCCTTGTGTGTCCAATCACACTTGGCCAATAAAGAATTCTATTCTATTCTATTCTATTCTATTCTATTCTATTCTATTCTATTCTATTCTATTCTATTCCATTCCATTCCATTCCATTCCATTCCATTCCCTTCCCTTCCCTTCCCTTCCCTTCCCTTCCCTTCCCTTCCCTTCCCTCCCTTCCTTCCTTCCTCCCTTCCTTCCTTCCTTCCTTCTTTGTTGGTACAATGGTTAGATTGCATTATTGCAGGCTCTGCCCATAGCCAGCAGTTCAATCCTGACTGGTTTAAGGTTGACTCAGCCTTCCATCCTTCCGAGGTAGCTAAAATGAGGATCCAGATTGTTGGAGGCAAGAGGCTGACTCTGTAAACCTCTTAGAGAGGGCTGTAAAAGCATTATGTGTGTATGTATGAACGATATATAAGTCTAAGTGCTATTGCTAGTGCTATATGCACCCTTGAATTACTGTTCACTCCTGATCATATGCCTGGAAAAGTCCCTGCAGTATTCCGGGCAAGATTTTGGGGAGTGCTTTGCTATTGCCTCTTCCTTCCTGGAGCTGAGAGAGAGAGGGAGTGGCTTATGGTCACCCAGCTAATTTTGGGTCTAAAGCAAGAGTAGAATTCACGATCTCTACCTGATGGCTCAACCTCTATGACAAACTGACTTTCTGTTTGAACGGTATTCTAACCCAGCTGGAGAATTTGAGCTATACCGCAGAACTGCCCAACCTGTGTGGATCTGTATAGTTCATCTGAGCTGGCTCTTTTACTAGAAATGGTAGCATAACCTTCTTCATAGAACATAGAATGATAGGGCTGCAGGGGATCTTGGAGGTCTTCTAGTCCACCCCTCTCATCAAGATAGATCTTATACCATCCCGGTTAAATGGTTCTCCGGTCTACTTTTGAAAACCTCCAGTGATGGAGCACCCAGAACTCCGGGAGACAAGCTATTCCATTGATTGATTGTTCTCGCTGTCAGAAAATTCCTCCTTACATCTAGGTTGGATCTCTCTTTAGCACGTTTCCACCCATTTCTTCTTGTCCTGCCCTTTAGTACTGTGGAAAATAAGTCAATCCCTTCTTCTCAAGTCCTCAAAGACAGTTATCATGTCCCCCTAATCCTTCTTTTTGATAGGCTAAGCATACCTTGTGGGTTATGGTTAAGGGGATGCGGTGGCTCAGTGGCTAAAATGCTGAGCTTGTCAATCGAAAAGTTGGCAGTTCAGCGGTTCAAATCCCTAGCGCCACGTAACGGGGTGAGCTCCCGTGACTTGTCCCAGCTTCTGCCAACCTAGCAGTTCGAAAGCACGTAAAAAATGCAAGTAGAAAAATAGGGACCACCTTTGGTGGGAAGGGAACAGCATTCTGTGCGCCTTTGGCATGTAGTTATGCTGGCCACATGACCACGGAGACGTCTTCGGACAGCACTGGCTCTTCACCTTTGAAATGGAGATGAGCACCGCCCCCTAGAATCGGGAACGACTAGCACATATGTGCAAGGGGAACATTTACCTTTACCTTATGGGTTAGATTTCAAGGCTCCAAGAAAGTCTTGGACCATTTTCTATCCTCATCATAAAAATGGAAAGGGAGGAAGCTCTCCCTCTCCGTTTCATTTTAAGCCACACAGTCAAAAGATTAAACTTTCCTAACTCTTGACGCTAACAAGGCTTTCATTTACAACACAACTCCCGCTCTCCATCTGGGTTCCTTTCAAACAGCTCTCTTGCTCATCCGCGGGACAGGAACCCAATTTTTTCTGGCAGGGCCTGAAGTCTGTTTGTGGGAAGGAAGAACGGAGGGACAGGGAGGAAGGCAGGACAGGACCTCCCCGCCCCCCTCAATGCATCAAGAAATCCCCACCCAACTAATACATCAACTCCTGGGGGTCCAAAAGTAAGGGGGGGAAAGCACAATTGTGCAAGAGGGAGAAATCTGGCACCGTCGTGGCACTCACCACGGGCAGCCAGAGAAACAACACGCTGCAGCCTCTGCGGTGTTTTTCCACAGGGAGAGGGAGAGAGAGAGAGAGAGAGAGCCAGCAGTAGGGAAAAACTCATTCAATTCAACCCAGGGACAAGCCAGGCCTCTGTGTAGCCACCATTCCTGAGTAACAAGGTCTCCTTTCTTCCCTCTCTCCTCCCACAGCCTCCACCTATAAACGCAGACTACACAAGAGGAGCTCACGGGCCAATGGCAAGATGACGGCATGATCCACCCTTTCAAGAGAAGCAATCGGGGAGCAGAGACAGACAGACGGGCCGAGAGAAAGAGAGAGAGAGAGAATTTTATGGAACAGTTATATTAACAAAATTGATATATTTTTCATTGTTGTTGCTTTTAAGGGGGGGGGGAAGTCTCATTATATAAGGAACAATGTGTGTGTATATATAAAGAAAAAGAACAAAAAAAAAAAATAAGGGAGAGAGAGGGGAGGGAAACCCTTTGCAAACTGGGAAGCAAACACAATTCCAGCCTTTTTTTAAAAAATAATAATAATGATTGTTAGAGCCAACTATCTTTGTGCCTTTGTGGGGAAAGGGACAGGGAGGGTTACAGAGGGTTAAGTTAAATAATAGATTATCTGGAGGAAGAGGAGGAGGAGGAGGATAGGGAGAAATCCTGATTTTTATTTCACAAGAAGTGTGACTTTTAAAACTGCAGAGTGGACAAGTACTTTTTTTAAAAGCCCCCTTTCCAATCCATCCACCTGAGCCGAGGTGGCGCAGTGGTTAGAGTGCAGTACTGCAGGTGACTTCAGCTGACTGCTAGCTGCAGTTCGGCAGTTCAAATCTCACCAGGCTCAAGATTGACTCAGCCTCCCAGCCTTCCTTCCAAGGTGGGTAAAATGAGGACCCAGATTGTTGGGGGGGGGGGGCAATCGGCTGACTCTGTAAAACCGCTTAGAGAGGGCTGTAAAGCACTGTAAAGCGGTATACAAGTCCAAGTGCTATTGCTATTGCTATCTTTCCACGTTGCAGGAAATATCACCGGATTGAGTGGGAACTACAGAGAGGAAGCGAACAGAAGCGGGGAAAAGTATTGTTAAGGGAGGTGGGGGAAAGGGGTCAGGAAAGCTCTTTTTTCAGCTCTCCCGAATACATCATCATCATCATCATGGGGGCCAATGGCGATTGCTTGTTTTTGGATATGTTCAGTTCATTCCTTTAAATAAATGCAAAATGTCAAATCACGTGTGGAAGTTGAAATTAGCCAGAGCATCAGAACTGCTCAAATGCAAACAGGTAAGAGGGGGCAGAACAAAACTCCCCACCATCCTGCCTTTTTTTTCAGTTCCAGACCTTTGTGGTCAGATTCCGGAGGTCCTAGCTGAACCTGCATCTCTTCTGACTCGTTTCCCATTTTTATTCTGCGGGAACGGGCTTGGAAGCAGGCCGGGCCGCATAGTAACGCAACTTCCTATGTTTCTTCTTGCTTCAGTTTTCTTCCCCGGGGACACCTGGCAGGCAACAGCGGCTCCCATCCTGAGATGGCGTATTCTCTCTCACAGGGAACGGTGCAGGGCGCTTGAGATTCCCTGCACCTATTTATATATTTTTTTTAATAAAAAAAAATACATATATATGTTATATGAATTGAAAGCAGAGAGGAAAACCGAGAGGCGTCATTTTTACAGTAACTTAACATGGACTTGTCCAACGTCTCGGAGATGCTGGTAGGAGTTCAGCTTTGGGTATGTGCTCTGTATACAGTGGGGAAGGGGGAAATGTCTGGAGACGGGGTGGGGTGGGGTGGAGAGAGTAGGTCCGGTGAACAGAACCGGGAAGAGCCTTTTATATTGCAAAAGAAAAAGAAAAAAGAAAAAAAAGCTATCCAGGCTAAGAAGCCCCAGAATTTTATTTTATTTTCTTTTAAAGTCCTGTGTGCACAAAAAAAATAAAATAAAAAAAGGCAACTCGGGAACGAAAAAAAGAGCCAAGCCTATTGCTGTCAGTGCTATGGTGAATCCTTGTACAAATAAAAGTTGTTGAAATTTAACCTGGCTGAGGTGCTATTTGCATGCTCTGGAGGATGAGGGAGGTGCACCTGGATGCGTGAATGTATTTGATTATCGGAGTACATCAGTGGTGGGATTCAAATAATTTAACAACCGGTTCTCTGCCCTAATGACCAGCTGGGTAAGCATGGCTCGGTGGTCATATGACCGTGTGGGCGTGGCCAACTCAACATCACTCATGTCGATGGGCGCTTCACCATAGCTGTTACAATGTGAGGCAGTTTCTGTAAGCAGGGCAATAAAGATTAGGCTAGAAACAACACCAGAATGTTTCCTTCCTGCCTTCCTTACAGGATTAGCCCTGTAAAGTGGAAAAAAATAAAAGGAGATTTCTTCCAACAACCGGTTCTCTCAAATAGGTGCGAACTGGCTGAATCCCAACACTGGGGTACATGCACTGCTTGCGGGTGAATGGTGCAGTGGCGGTCTCGCCTCTCAATCAGGAGGCTGTGAGTTCGATCCCAGGTAGAGGCAGATATTTCTCTCTCTGGGCACGATGAGAATATATCTGCTGAACAAAACTCCACATTGGCAACAGGAAGGGCATCCACCATTAAAACACCCTGCTAGCTCCATTCAGTTGCCCAGACTCTACCCTGCAAGGGATTACGGGGGTCTTTAAAAATGATGATGATGCACCACTTGTGGGTATTGTAGAGCAGATCAAATGCCCTGCTTGGTCACATCCAAAAGAGAGGACATAGCTCATAGAAGACCCCATAGCTCAGAAGATTCACATGGAGGTGTGGAGATGAGAGGTCCTTCAAAAGATACACCTAACACCAGTCCTAATGAGTTGACATTGCTTGCTGAAGCAGCCTCCTGTTTTGTACATCCTTTTATAAGCGGGAGGTTTGTAAACATTTCAAAATGCTCATCCGGTTGTGCTTGTTTACCTTCCTTACAGTCACATGGTTCTTATGCCTAAATCACTGTATTTTCTGTTTAACAGCGTGGTGGTAGAAAACTCCCATTTCATAGTCCTGAAAATCATAACAGTGCTAGCATCCAAGTGAAACCAGGGGAGTAAATTTAAAGCGTGTGGGTGGGGAGAAGGTAGCCCAGCTTTTATGACCAAAGTGTAATTAGGAGTCCTTGGTGCTCTCTGATCCTGGAGCTTTTCTTGCAGACATTTCATTACCCAAAGTAGGTAACAACATCAGTGCTAGTAAGGAGTGAGATTTGCACGGAGGAGGAGGAGGAGGAGGAGGAGGAGGAGTCCTTGATGCTCTCTGAGCTTGGTGCTTTTCTTGCAGAAATTACATTACCCAAACTAGATAACATCATCAGTGCTAGTGATAACATCAGATAACATCATCAGGACTAGCACCAACGATGTTACCTACGATAATTTGGCTAATGAAACATCTGCAAGAAAACCATCTAGCTCGGAGAGCACCAAGGGCCCCTCATTCCATCCCTGAGCTACAAATATTCTCATTTATTGGTACGAAGCTACTAGGAAAGTAAGGAGGAAAAAGACGAAGAGCTTCTCCGTGAGCTGCACTGGCTCCCTATTGGTCTCCGGGTGCAATTCAAGGTGTTGGTCATTACCTTTAAAGCCCTACATGGCTCAGGGCCAGGCTATCTTCGAGACCACCTTCTACCACATAGCTCCCAGCGACCGGTAAGATCCCACAGAGTCGGTCTCCTCCGGGTCCCATCAGCTAAACAATGTCGGCTGGTGGGCCCGCGGGGGAGGGCCTTCTCTGTGGCTGCCCCAGCTCTCTGGAACCAGTTACCTCCTGAGGTCCGGACCGCCCCCACCCTATTGGCCTTCCGCAAAGCGGTGAAGACCTGGCTTTTCCGGCAGGCCTGGGGCCGTTGATCTCGCTGTTGCAAGCTTGCGAGACCCGGCCACGAATTGGAGTGCATGTGTTTTAACGTTTTTAAAGTTTTTAATGTTTTAATGTTTTTCTTTTAAACATTTTTTAATGGGATTGTTTGCATTGTTTTATTCTTTGTTGTAAGTGGCATAGAAATGTGACAAAATAAATAAATAAATAAATAAGATATAATTTCCTAATAGACCCTGTGCTGTCCTATACAAGGGGTTGGGGGTGGGAGGTCAACACCGTTAAACATGATAATGTCCTCCTGCAGTCTGAGGCTGCCTTCAGTGGTAAGATGAGTAAAGCAACCTCCGCGAACGATTTGGACTCTTTACATAAAGAGGGGTTTTTAATTTGATTTTAATATTTAGGCAGAGAGTTTCGACCTGTGCTGTAAACAGCAGAGACCTTTCATTAGTCATGATGAATGCAGCTCATTCAAAGCTCCTTCCATCAGCCTTCCAGTTTTTCCTTTGGCCCCTCCACGCCCCCACCGTGTTTCCTTTACACATACACACACACACAAAAAAAAAACTCCACATCTCACTTTTCAACACTTTTTTTTTCCATTCTGCTCCCAAATGCTCAGGATTCATCCTGGTATCCCACTACCCACCCTCAGTGCTATTTCTGTTCTGATAGAATCAGGTAGAAGAAGAAAAAAGAACTTCTGAAGAAAATTAGGATCGGTTGACGGGCAGCTTCGGTAATCAGGATGGATTAGAACAGAATAACAAGAGTTGGAAGGGACCTTGGAGGTCTTCTAGTCCAACTTCCTGCTTAGGCAGGAAACCCTACAACACTTCAGACAAATGGTTATCCAACATCTTCTTAAAAACTTCCAGTGTTGGAGCATTTACAACTTCTGGAGGCAAGTTGTTCCACTGATTAATTGTTCTAACTGTCAGGAAATTTCTCCTTAGTTCTAAGTTGCTTCTCTCCGTGATTAGTTTCCACCCATTGCTTCTTGTCCTGCCTTCAGGTGCTCTGGAGAATAGCTTGACTCCCTCTTCTTTGTGGCAGCCCCTGAGATATTGGAAGTATCAACCTTTCATAATAGGTCAGGTCCAAAAACAGATGCCACAAGGATTAGTGGAACCTACTATACAATTTTCAGGTTATAATAACAGAAACAAGCAACTCTGTGTTGCAGTGGTGGGTTGCCACCGGTTCACACCGGTTCTATAGAACCAGTAGTAAAACTGGTGGGAGGCTCCGCCTACCAATCCTGACATCATCAAAATGCTTCTGCGCATGTGCTGAAGCTTCTACGCGAGCGAAGCGAGCGCGCAAGCACGGCCCTGTTGCGAACCAGTAGTAACTATCATGTCACCCCTAGTCTTTCTTTTCCTCAGACTAGACATACCCAAGTCCTGCAACTGTTCTTCCAATCCCCTAATCATCTTTGTTGCTCTTCTCTGCACTCTTTCCAGAATCTCCACATCTTTTTCACATCGTGGCGATCAAAATTACACCCAATTGATATCCAAGTTATTTCTTTGTGTGGTTTCTTCCAAGTTTTATTAGCAGACATCTCAGAGACCCCATCTTTAGACCCCCACAAGACAGTGTTCAAGTCACATTTGACAATACAAAAGGTACGGAAGCAATTGGTCTCCAAAATAACGGTTTGGTTGAATGTCCCAACAGAGTTGTGCTTGTTCTTCATGCAAAAACTGACAAAACAATATGGCTTAGTGAGATGCGTTAATCCAGGTCCAGATTTGTCAACCCTTATAGCAAGATAAACATCAGATTGTAAATGATTCTTTGTTTTCTTCTCAAACTGGTCTACCTCTAAATTAGAGGAGGTTTTTTTATGTAAAGGTAATGTGCTAGACGTTCTCGACTCTAGGGAGCGGTGCTCATCTCCGTTTCAAAGCCGAAGAGCCAGCGCTGTCCAAAGACGTCTCCATGGTCATGTGGCTGGCATGACTCAATGCCAAAGGCGCATGGAATGCTGTTACTTTCCCACCAAAAGTGGTCCCTATTTTTCTACTTGCATTTTTTACCTGCTTTCGAACTGCTAGGTTGGCAGAAGCTGGGACAAGTAATGGGAGCTCACCCCATTACGCAGCACTAGGGATTCAAACCACTGAACTGCTGACCTTTCGATCGACAAGCTCAGCGCCTTAGCCACTGAGTCATTATTTTTTTATTTTTATTTTTGTTTATGTAGGGTTTTACAAAGATGGAAACCTAGATTCATACATTACTCCAAGCCATACTTCAACTACGGTTTACTAAATGGTTGGGTTTGCACAACAATCTATGCCCAAACCAAACCAAATACAAGACAGCAGAGCCTATTATGTTACCCCAGCCATTCCACTTTCTCGTCGCTTTATAAAAAAAGAGAGAGGAGATGGCACTGCTCAATATGGATCTAGGTCCAATTCATCATTGATCAGAATGAATTGCATCCCCCCTGCCAGTTCATATCGTCAGCCTGAAGAACAGGAGAAAAGATACGGAGAAATGGCCCCTTCTGCATCCATTTTTGCCCTGAGATTCTTGTTGATCCCTTATCATACAGCATCCTGAGCCATTAAAATAGCCACTTCGATTTGAAAGTTGTAAATATTGGACCACTTAAGACGGAGATCACATGCTACTAAGAGTTGGGGATGTCACGCTGGAGCAGGTATTCCTTTCTCGAGAGAGTTATTACAACAGCTGCCTAACCGGTACTTCAGATGGCTTCCCTAATCTCACTGACAGATGTTGGCAGGAGCAAAAGACATCATAAAATTGCAAAAAAAAACAAAACAAAACCCATCATAATCAGATGAGCATCTTCTCACATGCACGGGCCCCATCTCTAAGCTCAGGTTTTCTGACCGCATGATTAAATGGGCAACGAAGCCTGGAAGCTCTTCCAATCAGCGCTAAGGCAACTCAATTTCCACATCACAGCTTGTACAGCATTTTCTGTTTCATTACAAAAGTGTTTTTTTTTTAAAGAAAACAGAAACTTGAAAACATACAGTTAAAACAGACCCCCTTCCCCTCTCCCCCCAAGAGACTGGCCCTTTAAATAATAAACTCTAGGTGGTGATAAAAAGGACACCGTCCACCAATGAAGGAAGCCGTTTTCCTTAGCTCATCTTGTAACAGTAGACTCCAAAGTTCCCAGTTTGGGGAAAGCCAAAACTTCGGACTCCTGGTTCTGGTGGGCCGCAGTTGGGTCGGGGAGAAGTGATGGGGTAGCGCACACTGCCATCCGCCAACCAGCCAGAATCGCAGCGGTCCAACTCCAAGAACTTCCATGCTGAGTAGAGCTGGCCCACCTTGGCAATTTCAGCTTGGTCATCTTGGCATGCTTGCTTGGCTTCTTCTAAGGTGAACTTCTTATTGTGCTCAAGATAGTAGACCGTCCCTGTTTGGGTGGGCAAAGAATATTTTACTGATATTCATGTATTTTCATGTATATATATAAATTAAAAAGTCAGAATTGCTAAAAAGAAAAGAGAATGAATGCTTTGCAACCGGTTAGGTTTGCATACCCGTTGAGCTTATTATACCCCAACAAGCCAATTGTTGGCTAACGTAGTTTATGCTAAACATGATTTGTTAAACAAACCAGAGGGGCACAGATGACACAATGCTAAGCCATAAACAGTGGTTGGCAAGACACGTTAGATGAGTTCCTACATTGCACTAACCTAACGTTTCATGTGATAAGCAGGCAATATGTGACTCTCCCAAAGATGCTTTTTTCAAGAGGCAATTGGACTTTCTTGTTTTTTCTTTTGAAGACGTTTCGCTTCTCATCCAAGAAGCTTCTTCAGCTCTGACGGGATGGTGGGGAATGGAAGGATTTATACTCCTTCCATTTATAAATCCTTCCATTCCTCACCATCCAGTCAGAGGTGAAGAAGCTTCTTGGATGAAAAGCAAAACATCTTCAAAGAAAAGCAAGAAAGTCCAGTTGCCTCTTGAAAAAAGCATCTTTGGGACAACCATGACCTGGATGACTGAGAATCTCTTTGTCAATGGAAGGAGTTTCACAGCTTAGCTCCTGTGATGGATGGATGGATGGATGGATGGATGGATGGATGGATGGATGGATAGATGGATAGATGGATAGATGGATAGATGGATAGATGGATAAACGGACAGATGGAGAGAGGGAGGGAGAGAGAGAGATACACACTTCTGAAAATGAAGTCTCTATTAATGTTGACACAATACAACTCAACAGAACACTTTTTTTTTAATGAAAAATATCGAATTCCATCCTTAATCGTTTTAACTAAGAGGTCCAACAACGAATCAATGGTCTACTTTAAAGATAGTCCCCTATGTTCCCATCAACTGTTCCAGTCCATAATCTTAGTCTTTTGATCCTTTTCTGTTGTGGCCCCGCCCTCTGAGCCTGTCCCATCGGAGGAAGAAAGCTCCGAGCATGAGGAAGAGGAGTCAGCCAAGCCTCCCTCTCCAGGCCCCTCCCCTCTGGCATTGTCTCAAGTGCCGGCCGAGGGAGAGGAGACAGCTGGTTCGGATCAGAGTGATGAAGAAACATCATTCCTGGACGCATGCCTCTGAAGGCGTGATAAACGTTTGCAGCAGCTTAGGAGGCATGCTAGGGATTAGAACTGAGTCACTGGACCACACCCCAGAGACTATATAATAGAGGGTGGTGGTCAAGGATCCTTGTGACGAACAAAGCGAACCTTGGATAGTCACTAAAGCCTCGTCCGGAACTGCTGAGAGAAAGATTTAAAGTGTCGGACATTTGGACTCTTGAGTATTTATCTTTCTGTTTTACTTTGAAAATAAAGTCACTTGGCAGACGGTGTGTCTATCGCTGCCAAGTGGGAGATAAGACCTGGGTGCGTTCCAAAGTGTTTCCTTAACCCTCAACTGGCTGTGTTTGTGTGTGTGGGGGTACGGGGACAGATCACTTTTCATTTGATAAATTGTTGTTTTCCAAGCTCCTTCAAAGGCAGAACGGGTGTACAGGACATGCTGTCAGTGGATCACAAGTGATATCAGAATGTGGACATCACCAAAAAAGAGAAAAGTTCCCCAGTCTATGACCTCTTTCTCAATACATCTCCTTCTACATGTCTATGGAGACTCTGGGTCATTCAGGTCATAGTTGTCCCAAAGGTGCTTTTTTTCAAGAGGCAACTGGACTTCCTTGGTTTTTCTTTGAACACATTTTGCTTCTCATCCAGGAAGCTTCTTCAGCTATGACCGGATGGTGGGGAATGGACCATTGTAAAATGGTCGGCTTCTACAAATAGCTGCTGCCCCAAAGATAACCTGCACTCACCTTTCAGAGCCGAAGAGAAGCAAAAGACATCAAAGCGATGGAGGTTCTTGTGACGTTCTCCATAACTTCTGATACCAGGTTGTAGATGATGCCCACCACAGTTTTCCCGGGGTACTGTGATAGGATACTGAGCTGTGCCATCAATCAGCCAGCCAGCATTACACCAGTCTAAGCCATCTAACCAGGCCTCAAAAAGCTGGTCGAAGGAGGCTATTACTGCATCCTGATCTTCACAGATCTTCTTGGCTTCGTGGAAGTTAAGCTTATAGCGTCCATGGGGAGGCTGGTAAGGAAAGACCACTCCTGAATCGGGAAAAGCGAAGGAATATAAATGGAAAGATTACTGAACGTGTGCATTTCGTAACTGGATAATCCAAGGTTCAAAACGAAGTTCAGAGCCACACTGATGTTTGGAATTGGAGGAGTGACTCAAGCCCAATTTAGATGACCTTAATTTGGGAAAAGGTTGTGCAAAACAGAGACGGGCGACTTTGTGGCCATCTAGACCCTGTTTGACTGGAACGCGTAGCATCCCTTGATGGTAAACAGCTGGATTTTTTTTTTAGCCGGCAACAAAGGTTGCTTGGTTTTTGAAATATATCTCCAGATTACAGGCCGCATATTTTTGCTTTGGATCTGGGATTATGTCAAAGCAATCACACAATAGGTGGCTGCTTACATCAAAAGGAGACCAATAAAAAAATGACAGACTACTGGTGACATCTGGTGGCCAGAAAGAGGAAGAAACTCTGTTATCTTACCAAAATATATATGATTGATCCATCCATCATCTACCAGTGTCTCTATCTTATCTATCTATCTATCTATCTATCTATCTATCTATCTATCTATCTATCTATCTATCTTCTATCTACCATCTATTCTATCATCTATATCATCTATCTATCTATCATCTATCTATTCTATCATCTATCTATCTAATCTATCATCTATCTATCATCTATCATCTATCTACCTAATCTATCATCTATCATCTAATCTCTCATCTCTCATCTATTCTATCATCTATTCTATCATCTATATCATCTATCTATCTATCATCTATCTATTCTATCATCTATCTATCTAATCTATCATCTATCATCTAATCTATCATCTATCATCTATCTATTCTATCATCTATCCTATCATCTATCCATCTATTTTATAATCAAATCTATCATCTAATCTATCATCTATTATCTATCATCTATTAATTACTTATCATCTATTTATCTATCATCTATCTATTATCTATCATCTATCTATCATTTATCTATCTATCCTGTAATCAAATCTATCATCTATCTCTGCTGATCTTAACTGTTTCTAAATAAAACAACAAAATACCATCTTGCTATAATCAGAAGTGAATTCATCAAATTAAATGTCTCTTTCATGGTCCCAAGTAATGATCCCAACCAATTTCTATCTATCTATCTATCTATCTATCTATCTATCTATCTATCTATCTATCTATCTATCTTCTATCTACCATCTATTCTATCATCTATATCATCTATCTATCTATCATCTATCTATTCTATCATCTATCTATCTAATCTATCATCTATCTATCATCTATCATCTATCTACCTAATCTATCATCTATCATCTAATCTCTCATCTCTCATCTATTCTATCATCTATTCTATCATCTATATCATCTATCTATCTATCATCTATCTATTCTATCATCTATCTATCTAATCTATCATCTATCATCTATCATCTAATCTATCATCTATCATCTATCTATTCTATCATCTATCCTATCATCTATCCATCTATTTTATAATCAAATCTATCATCTAATCTATCATCTATTATCTATCATCTATTAATTACTTATCATCTATTTATCTATCATCTATCTATTATCTATCATCTATCTATCATTTATCTATCTATCCTGTAATCAAATCTATCATCTATCTCTGCTGATCTTAACTGTTTCTAAATAAAACAACAAAATACCATCTTGCTATAATCAGAAGTGAATTCATCAAATTAAATGTCTCTTTCATGGTCCCAAGTAATGATCCCAACCAATTTCTGGTTGCCTCGGCCAGAGTCGTTTTGAAAGTTGAGTCTCGTTTCTGCATTCATATCTTCACCCCATGCACATACTTTTAAAAGCCTCACACACATTTTTGTACCTCTTTCTCCAATACACATTTCTCCTTACCCTTTTGTCTAGTGTACATAAAGTATATCGTTTAATTTGTTTTCCAAGAATATATTAATCTTTATGCAATGTTATCTTAATACAAATACGATTTGGGGGCATCTTGTTCTGCGGCTTTGTTGTATATTTTTAATATATTTATGCTTCTGCATTTCAACTTTTACCTGAAAGCTCAAGAGAGCATATATGGAGATTGCCCTCTATTTTATTGCTACAATAACCTAGTTAGGGAAATGTATCTTTAGAAGATCAGGCAGAACCTGGGGGTAGGGTCAAGTGAGCAATCAGCCTAGAGTCATTATGTTGTCACAAGCAATCCAAGCCCAGCCACCCTTGAATTCTGTTGACTCTTATCTAGTGCCAATTTAGTGACCATTCGTTGCCTTGATTCTTGTGAAAAAGCATGATCAATAAATCATCTTAACTGGAACTTAATGTACAGTCCTGATTCTTCCTGCCTGACAGCATCTGTCTCTCAACATCATCCAGAAGCTCCAACTGGGAGCTCCAACTTCAAGGCCAACTTCTTAATCACATCATTATATCTCAGAATAAATAGTGCGATGGCCTAGAGGTGGAGCTCTCGCCTCACAATCAAGAGGCTGTGAGTTCGATCCTAGATAGAGGATCCTAGATAGAGCCTAAATATTTCTCTCTCTGGGCACAATGAGAATATATCTGCTGCGAACTCTGCATTGGCAACAGGAAAAGCATCCGGCCAGTAAACTCTCAGCCCCATTCAGTTGCCCTGAGTCAACTCCGTAAAGGATTATGGGATCATTAAAAGACAAAAAAATATTGTATCTCAGAATATTGGTCACATCAGCTCCATCCTACTCACCTTGCAGTTCTAGATCGACGGTCCCACTTTCATCTTCCAAACCATCAATGACTTCACAGCGGTACTTCCCAGCATCATTCAAGCGCAGGTCATTGATCACCAGAGAGGCTTCATCAGCAGACTCTTGCTGGAGATGAGTCCGTCCCCGGAACTCGCCAAAGCTGCGGTGATTTTGCCCAGATGCCACCAACACGTCTCGATCTTTAGAGTTGTCTTCCCGCAGCTTGGACCATTTGATGCGGATTCTGCGAGGGGCATCCAGTTTAGGTGCGTAGTGATAATGGCAGGGCAGTGTAACATTGGCACCACGCTGGGTAGAGATGGCATCGTCGGAGGTCTCAACCATCAGTCGGACACCGTTGAGACCTGAGAAAAGAAGAAATCAAGGTCAGATGTCAGGCAACACATCCTCAAAATACCATAATACGTAAATACTGGTAAACAACAGTGGGAGAAGGTGCATCTCAGGTGAACAACAGTGGGAGAAGGTGCATCTAGGTGAACCACACTGGGGAAGGTGCGTCTAAGGTGAAACAACAGTGGGAAAAAGATAAATCTCAGGTGAACTACAATGGGAGAAGGTGCATCTCAGGTGAAAAACAATGGAGAAGGTGCATCTAGGTGAACCACACTGGGAGAAGGTGCGTCTAAGGTGAACAACAGTGGGAGAAGGTGCATCTAGGTGAAACCACACTGGGAGAAGGTGCATCTCAGGTGAACTACAGTGGGAGAAGGTGCATCTCAGGTGAACCACACTGGGAGAAGGTGCGTCTGAGGTGAACAACAGTTGGGAAAAGATAAATCTCAGGTGAACTACAATGGGAGAAGGTGCATCAGGTGAACTACATTGTGAGAAGGTGCATCTCAGGTGAACAACAGTGGGAAAAGGTAAATCTCAGGTGAACAACAATGAGAGAAGGTATGTCTCCATCTCCGGTTTGCAGACACCCTAAAGCAGGACCAGGCAATTAATTTTCCCAAGTGGCCACATAAGAAACTGGACTGTTGCGGAGGGCTGAACCAATAGGAGAGTAAAGGTACATAGCATGTGCACACTCACATAGGTAGATTGAAAAATAATAGCAGTTGCCTTCAAAATAAAAGCAATCCATGTGGGCCAGACAAGGACAACCAAAGCACCAGATGTGGACCAGAAGCCATAAAACACTCAAGTCTTCCCCAAAGACAAACGAAAGGCTGGACTAAAATGGACCTTGGAGTAACTCAGTAGAGCAATTTTTTACAATTTAATGTCATTTGCAAAACAACTGCAGTGCTATAACATGTGCACCTTTCTTGCTAGGTCAAACGGTTCTCTGACCCAATTGTCCGTAAATCGTATCAAAATGATCAAAATGAAATGGAAAATGGTGAAAGCTCAACTACAGTTTTTATTTCTCTCTAATATTCTCATTTCAGATTTTTTTTTTCTATACATTCTCAATGAATCGACTTGTTAACTACCGTATTTTTCGGAGTATAAGACGCACTTTCCCCAACCCCTAAAAGAGGGTGGAAATTTTGGTGCGTCTTATACACCGAATAACAGCCATTTTTGGCTTTCCGAAACCCAGCCCCCACGGGTCCCATTTTCACCATAAACAAGCCCATTTTTCATAAAAACGGGATGCGCAGAGGGTTTGGGAGGCCTGCAGAGTGCTCCTGGGGCCTGGGGAGGGCAAAAAGGCGACACATGGGGGGTTTGGGAGGCGAAAAACAGGCCTATTTTTCACAATGGGCCAATTTTCATGAAAACAAGGCATGCAGAGGGCTTGGGAGGCCTGCAGAGTGCTCCTGGGGGCTGGGGAGGGCAAAAACGCGATGCATGGGGGGGTTGGGGTTTTGCGGGCCTGTTTTTTCCAAAAACAGGGGCATTTTTGCCCACCCCAGCCACCAGGAATACTCTGCAGGCCTCCCAAACCCGCTGTGCACCCCATTTTTGCGAAAAAAGGGCCCGTTTTTCACCTCCCAAACACATTACGCACCACATTTTTGTCCTCCCCAGTCCCCAGGAGCACTCTGCAGGCCTCCCAAACCCTCTGCACAGCCCATTTTCGCAAAATCAGGACGTGCAGAGAATTTGGAAGGCCTGCAGAGTGCTCCTGGGTGCCAGGGAAGGCAAAAACTTTTTTTTCTTGTTTACCTCTGAAATCTTGGTGCGTTTTATACTCCAGTGTGTCATATAGTCCAAACAATATGGCATTTACTCTACCCGCCAAGCCCAGGTATGTTGTGATCCGCCAGCAGCCTGAGAAGCTGGCAGCAAAGAAGGATAGTGAGAAGGCTGGGGAGGAATATGGGCCAGTCCTGGAGTCTGGGGAAGGCTCAGACGAGGGATCTACATCGGAGGCAGAGATGGGGCCAGGGCTAGCTGGGAATTTTGTGCGGACTCCAGAGCCTCCAGAGTCTGACGTCAGTGAGGCAGAGGAACAGGGGGAGCCTGTTCCCAGTGCGTGCATGCGCAGAGCTGCCACAAGGCAAGAACAGTTAAAACAAAAGGGACAACTCAGGAATAAGGCTTGGAGATGAATGGCCCCTCCCATAAGACATAAAGGAAGAGCAAAGGCACGTGGGCCTTTGCAGGAAGCAACATTGTGGATGGTGTCGATTTGTACTTTGAAGCTCCGTTTTTGACTCTGTGTTTCTGTGTGGCTTTGCCAAGATAGTTGTCAATTAGGTCTTTGGCAGAGTATCAAAAAAGATAAAGGTGAGTGTTTACCAGCCTTATCAGGAGGACTATGGCAGACTTCTGTTGGACTATTTATAAACTCTTGGTGATTCAGCACGTGCTGTGAATGGAAGGAATTCACAGCCGTTAAAATTTTTAAAAAGGGGGTTTTGGGACTAATTGTGTGCTTTTTACTATATCAGGAAGCCTAGGTCAGAACCAGGTACTCATTTCCCCCATCCAAACTGTTGATCATCACCTTTATCATTAATGGGTCTGTCATAGTAGAAGCCATTGTAGAAAGGGAGGCTGCCATGACTACTCCCGGTCTGTAGCAACATCACCACCAGGGGGAAGAGCATCAGTTCTGGAAGACTCTGGAACTGGAAGGAAAACCTGACAAGTGAAGGAAGAAACCATCCAGATTAATAGTGTCTTACTATACTGAAGGGACACGGTAACTCAGTGGCTAAGACACTGAGCTTATCGATCGAAAGGTCAGCAGTTCAGCGGTTCGAATCCCTAGTGCCACGTAACGGGGTGAGCTCGCATTATTTGTCCCAGCTTCTGCCAACCTAGCAGTTTGAAAGCACATAAAAAATGCAAGTAGAAAAATAGGGACCACCTTGGGTGGGAAGGTAACAGCGTTCTGTGCGCCTTTGGCATTTAATCATGCCGGCCACATGACCACGGAGACATCTTTGGACAGCGCTGGCTCTTCGGCTTTGAAACGGAGATGAGCACCGCCCCTTAGAGTCAGGAACGACTAGCACATATGTGCAAGGGGAACCTTTACCTTTACCTTATATTGCCACACCAGGGGCAGCATCAAACTGACCTTAGTTGATTCCCCCTCAAGCTAAGCAAGATAGACCCATAGCATGGGACAGGAAGGCAAACACAGTTTATTAATTTTGAATTTATATGAGCCGCGGAGGTGCAGTGGGTAGAGTGCTGTACTGCAGGCTACTTCTGCTGACTGCCGACTGCCTTCAATTTGGCAGTTCGAATCTCACCAGGCTCAAGGTTGACTCAGCCTTCCATCCTTCCGAGGTGGGTAAAATGAGGACCCAAAATTGTTGGGGGCAATAGGCTGACTCTGTAAACTGCTTAGAGTGGGCTGTAAAGCAGTATGTAAGTCGAAGTGCTATTGCTATTTATCCTACCTTTATTACTTTAGAAATAACTCAAGGCAGCAAAACATATAGAATACTCCTTCCCTCTCCTATTTTCCCCACAAAAACAACCTGAGGGTTGGCTGAGAAAATGTGACCGGCCCAGAGGTGGGTTCCAGCAGGTTCCGACCAGTTCTGGAGAACCGGTAGCAGAAATTTTGAGTAGTTCGGAGAACCGATAAATACCACCTCTGACTGGCCCAGTCCCCATCTATTCTCTACCTCCTGAGTCCCAGCTGATCAGGAGGAAATGGAGATTTTACAGTATTCTTCTCCTGGAGTGGGTTGGGAATGGAGATTTTACAGTATCCTTCCGAATTACTATAAAGCGTGGAATAGATTCTATACGTGGCTAGAAAATAGAAATCAAAACAAGAAATAAGAACGTAAATTGAAATTTGATTAATTGGAATCTAAGAGTATTGAATACTGGTAAGGATAAAATATTGACTATGTTAACAAATAGGATGTAAGTATATATAACAATTTAGCTAATAAGAATGCCCAATATGGTTACACCAGAACAAGAGAATGATTAGGAAGTTTGAATTTAAAAGTAAAGATAACTGTCGATGCAGAGAGTTGTAAAATATTATATAATGTTGTTATTTATGTTTTGAATTTACAGTATCCTTCCCCTGCCACGCCCACCAAGCCATGCTACGCCCACCAGGCCACACCCACAGAACTGGAAGTAAAAAAATTTGTTGCCTAAGTTGCCCAGCAGTCTTCCATGATAAAGGCAGGACTAGAACTCACAATCTCCTAGTTTCTCAGCCAGTACTCTAACCACTACACCAGATTGATTTAGGTCAGTGCATTCTATCTCTTAGTGATCCTGCCTTCAGGAAAGGGAACTGGGAACTGGCAGCCCAACTGAATTTGTACTCTACTGAGACTTTTGAAGGAAAAGAAATGTCTCGGTACAAATAGGATTTTTCAACTTCTTTTTTTTTAATTGTATTGATTTTTTTATTAATTACATTTCTTAGTGCTTAATACACATCGTGTTGTCTGGGTATTTAATTTGCTTAACAATAATGATTATATTCTTCATCTCCATCTCTTTTTTTTTTCCAACCACTGGTAAAAATAGATTCCATGTTGGATAGTGCCTTCTTTCTGCTTAATTTTCAATGTCAATCAACTTCCTTCTTAAGGGCTCGGGTTTATCTTTGCTCTTTTTCTTCCCGCCTTCAAATTTCTCCCTGGTTTCCAAACTTCAAATGATGCTTGGACATTTTTTAAATAGTAGATTAGAAACTCATATCCTGTTTGGAAAGAGGGTTTTGTTCCGTTTGGGGGTTTCTTTGCATTTAGGAACCGACATTTGTCCACATGTTGATATGCATCTCCTGAAACAACATGTTCAAAGGCTGGAGTTTCACAGCCGTTTCCAAATGTCATGACTTCGTGAAATCATCCTTTTATTTCGCCCTGTGAAATGGGTGGTCTCTACATTTGATACATTAAGTAAATAAATAAACATATTTAGAAGGTTGCTCCTCTTCCCCCGGAATTCACGGATTCGTCTGTCATCTGCACCTCTATTACTGTCTGGTTGGGTTCTGCAACCCAACAAGACAGACACAGATTTCAGAGGATAATTAGAACTGGAGAAAAAAACAATTACTACCAACCTGCCTCCCATTGGGGATCTGTATACTGCACGAGTCAAAAAGAGGGCTGTGAAAATAACTACAGACCCCTCGCATCCTGGACATAAATTGTTTCAACTCCTACCCTCAAAATGACGCTATAGGGCACTGCACACCAGAACAACTAGACACAAGGACAGTTTTTTCTCGAACGCCCTCACTTCTCCTAAACAAATAATTCCCTCAACACTGTCAAACGATTCACTAAGTCTGCCCTACTATTAATCTTCTCATCGTTCCCATCACCCATCTCCTCCCACTTATGACTGCTTGACGGTAACTTTGTTGCTTGTATCCTTACGATTTATATTGATTTTGTTTCCTGATTGCTTATTTGTAGCCTATGACTATCATTAAGTGTTGTACCTTATGATTCCTGACGAACATATCTTTTCTTTTATGTACACTGAGAGCATATGCACCAAAGACAAATTCCTTGTGTGTCCAACCACACTTGGCCAATAAAGAATTCTATTCTATTCTATTCTATTCTATTCTGTTCTGTTCTGTTCTGTTCTGTTCTGTTCTGTTCTATTCTATTCTATTCTATTCTATTCATTCATTTATTTATTGGTTCGATTTATATGCCGCCCTTCTCCGGAGACTCAGGGCGGCTTACAATGCGTTAAGCAATAGCCTTCATACTTTTGTATATACCTGCTTAGTAGGGCTTTCGGGGCCCCCCTAAGCAGTGTTCTTTTTTTATACAAAGTCATCTTATTGCCCCCACAATCCGGGTCCTCATTTTACCTACCTCGAAAGGATGGAAGGCTGAGTCAACCTTGAGCCTGGTGAGATTTGAACTTGCAGTAATTGCAGGCAGCTGGTGCTACTTAACAGCACTTTAGTCTGCTGCACCACCAAGGCTCTATCTAGGCTCTATTCTATTCTATTCCTCCATAAACCACTTTTCATGGTTTTTCTCTGCTGTGTTTCAGCGCTTTTTTAAAAAAAATTTAGATGATGCAAGTGTCCTCAAGAACATAACTAAATAGAAGTTTACAGTTAAAGGATAAGGGTTTTCTCAACCGGAGTTCAATTTCCGGTGACAACACAAAGATGGCCAGTTCCTTGGCAGCACTCCTGAAGTGGCTTGTAATTTCCGTCTTCAAGGAAGTTTTACAAACTTTTGCATCTATAGCCTATCATTCTGGAATTTCCTATAGTGATGTCTCCTCCAAGTGATCCTGTTTAGCCCTTTTATAATCAGCCAAGGTCAGTGAAGTAATGTTACCTATCTGGGCAAAACTATTTCGGAATGCTTTTATGGCTTTCCAAATACCATAAAACATTTTTAATTCCAAAGTTTCCAAAACCCTTTTTTTTAAAGAGAAAAAAAAAAACCAACACCGGGGAAACCACTTCTCAATACGCCTTTGTTCTTTTCTATTCTTTGAATCTAAAACATTTCATGATGAGTATTTTTTTTTTTTTGTACTCATAGTTTTCTGCCTGTCTTGGGCTCACTTAGCCTAGAAAAGTATAAATACTATGTGTTTACTGGCTGTGTGTTTTTGGAGAATGGTTTTATATAACTTGGGCGAAGGGCAGCTTAAAGCTGAGAATTCTAAGTGGTTGGCAACCCATTTTTTTTATTCAACTCTTAGCGTTGGAAGAACAGATTCAGTAGATGTTCAAATGTTCATTCTTAAGGGGACTGAAGAAGAATAACAAAATAACAGAGTTGGAAGGGACCTTGGAGGTCTTCTAGTCCAACCCCCTGCTGGCAAGTTGTTCCACTGATTTAATTGTTCTGTCAGGAAATTTCTCCTTAGTTCTAAGTTGCTTCTCTCCTTGATCAGTTTCCACCCATTGCTTCTTGTCCTGCCCTCAGGTGCTTTGGAGAATAGCTTGACTCCCTCTTCTTTGTGGCAACCCCTGAGATATTGGAAGACTGCTATCATGTCTCCCCTAGTCCTTCTTTTCATTGAACTATACACACACACACACACACAGTAACTGCTTCCTTTAATTGAGCTCAAATCTTGGTAATTATGTAGACACCTCACTGGAAAAGGGGGAAACAACATGGAAGGAATTTGGGATTTTCTTCTTCTATATTCTCAGTCATCCAAGTCATGTTGTCCCAAAGGTGTTTTTTCAAAAGGCAACTGAACTTTCTTTTTTCTCTTGAAGACATTTCGCTTCTCATCCAAGACAGGGGTGGGTTCTCAATTTTTTTACTACCGGTTCTGTGGGCGAGGCTTATTTTGTGGGCGTGGCTTGATGGTCATGTGACAATTATTTAGGATTTAGCAAAGGTACTGGTCTACCAGGCTGTACTGATTTACCCATTTATTTTTGCAGGTACTGATCTACTCAAGTATTTTTACAGGCACTGATTAATCATGTATATTTGCAGGCACTGATCTACGCATGTATTTTTGCAGGCACTGATCTACTCATGTATTTTTGCAGGCACTGGTCTACCCATTTATTTTTGCAGGCACTGATCTACTCATGTATTTTTGCAGGCACTGATCTACTCATGTATTTTTGCAGGCACCGGTCTACTCATTTGTTTCTTTCAACACTGATCAGCTGTAGGGCGGCCCTTTGAAGC